TTTAGGATATTTTCAATTAGAGTTATGGAGATTGTTTTTACACATTTTTGAAGTCATTGATCAATCATTGTTAGACCATGGCATGGAACAACTACTCATCAGCAGTGCACATCCACAACTGTATTAATAAGACAGTTAGAGCTAGAGTTATGGAGTGTTTTTACACATTTCAAATCAATCATTGTTAGACCACCACTATTAGAAACCTGGGAGCACTGGACGACCCTACTCGGTATTGTGCGCGAAAGCCTAACCATTGGACTACTGGGCCAGCATCCAACAGTGTTAATGTCTAACTCTCTGATTGATCTAGGGATTTTTCGCGACTTCATCCATTTGTCTTTGGTAGTTACTACCTACACCCAACTGGTTTGAAGCACTGGACGGCCGTTTCGTCCTGGTATGGGACTACTTATCAGCAGTGCGCATCCACGATACTGTAATAATAAGACAGTTAGAGAAATTTATTTAATTGTTACATAATCAATATATATATATATATATATATATATATATATACTTAATATTTCATTCATCATTTTAGGCATATCAACAAACTCCTCAAATTGGTACACGTCATTATGATCGTCCAGTTATACATCCACCAAGACGTTCAAGTAGTGTTAGTCGTGAATTAGTATCACATAATTCTGTGTTAAACAATAATAATAATAATAATAATAATAATAGCACTGTGAATAAACATAACAGTAATCCAAATCACAGTTTACTGACAACTAATCAACATCAACATTATTCACGTTTAAATTTATCTGATTTTGCTGGTAATAAAAATCCATCATTATTTAATTCTTCATCATATGAACAATCTACTACTACTAATACTACTTATAACAATAATAGTAGTATAAATAATAATAATAATGATAATTTTCATCATCAGCACTACCAACAACCACAACAACAACAGCATCAATCGAATTTACTTCAGCGAATCAATCCGAATGGTACAGTGGCATCATCACTGATACAACAACACCAACAACATCCGTATAGACAACAGCAACACCAAGATATGTTTCCTTTGCCTTGTTCTCCTTCAACTATGAATAATAACAATTCACATTATTCACGAATCTATCAAAATAATCATAATAATAATAATAATCATAATAATGGTATTATGATGACTGGTCGTGATAGTCCTATCCCTGTTAGTCATATAAATAATAATAATAATCTAAGTAGTAATACTACTAATAATAATACTAGTAGTAGTAATAGTAGTCAATTAATGTTTGGTGTAAAAGTTCTACCGAATATTGTCACATCACAACAATTATTGAATAATAACACTGCTGTCAACAGTCAACATTATCATCAGCAACATCAATCGAGATTACCACAAAGAGGTGGATTAACACGTCAGACAAGTTGTGAACCACCGGCAATTGGTTCATTAATGAATCATCATAACACCACGATTGGTGGTGGTGGAGGTGGAGGTGGTGGTTTATTAAGATCACAAACTTTATTCCCTCCTGATCGACAGTCGTCATCATCATCAGTATCGAATGAAGAGTATATGCAACACCCACAACATCAACACCAACAGTCACAATCTCATTATTCTAGTAATATTCATAATTTGAGACAGAATAGTTCATTTTTACAATCACGACAACCAACTTCGTCGGATAGTGGTGGGGGTCCTACTGTGAGAGGGCAACCACCACCACAACAACAATTGTTTACAGATGATAGTGTAACTAGTAAGTATGTTATCTTATCTAATTTATATTTATACTCTTATTTGATGTTAATATACTCGAAACTATTACAAGTTCAGTCAGTCAGTCAGAAGCAACGTGTAGAACTTTGTATGTAAGTACATCAGTTCATGTTATCATACCTTATCACCACAGAGATATGATTGTCAATTCAAATCCAATAGTAGAAGAGGTAGTAAAGGTGTTAGAAGTAATTGGAGAGGTTAGGATTAGGAAATATTATTCAAGAAATATGATTCAGTGAGAAAAGTTTAGAAAGTCAAAACCAGATGTGTTGATGAATCTAGAAGATTAGGAATTGAGAGAACACGGAGAATAAATGCACTGGCGCTATTGCGAACGATTTTGAGCCATATCATTCAGGGTCTCTAACCATCGATTGTTATCATCTCGCGGACCCCAACCAGGTAGTCGACAACTACCGACACGGCTCAGTCCACTAGTCAATTACTTCATGGGTTTCTGCCATGTTTTAGTTTGGCCGCCCCATTACAAGTTCAACTTACCTGGTAAACGGAGCGAAGATCAATGATAAGTTATTCTAATCTATTTGATCTGTAATCAATCAGTAAATTATACAAATCATGTGATCACGTGTGTATGTAGGTAGCACCCTGCACGCACAACTGATTTACAACAAATAATGTTATGAGTATAAATTTGTATTTTTTTTTGTCGAGACAACTGTAGTACACATCCACAGTTAGTCAGTCAGGTCAGGTCAGTTACAACGTAGAACTTCGTACGTACGTACTTACACCAGTACATGGTTGCCATACCATATTAGCACAAAGAGATGGAATTGTCAATTGAAATCCCATAGTGGTAGATCTAGTGAAAGTATTAGCAGTAATGAAGAAGATTAGGGATCGAAGATATTATTCGAAAAGTATAATTCAATGAAATAGCTTTGGGGCAGAGTCCCATACCAGGACGAAACGGCCGTCCAGTGCTTCCAGGTTTCTAATGTTGGTCTAACAATGATTGAATAATGATTTCAAATGTGAGAAATAGATTTGAGAAGAGATAGATAGAAGACGAGAATTTCATAGAACACTAAGAGTAAATGCACCTGCGCCATTGGAAAGAGTTTTAAACCATATATCATTTAGAGTCTCTAACCATCGATTACTATCATCTGGCGGACCCTAACCAGGTAGTCGATACGCACCAACATGACTTAGTTCACTACTTGTCAGTAGTGACTTCATGGATTTGTGTCATGTTTTGATCTGGCCGCCCTTAGTTTTCTTCCAACCTATTCCTAAACCGCAAAACATCGTTCGTCGTGGCAGTTGGTGGTTGGGCATTCGTAACATATGTTCCAGCTACCTCAACTAATGAAGTTTCATTGCTTCATCTTTTGACTCGTTATCCCTACCTAGTACTCGTTTCCTAACCATAACATTGCTTACTGGGTTGTCCCAGAATATACGAGCGATACTTTTAGGACATCTATGATCGAATATCAGTAGCCTACGAATATCTTCTACTCTGACTGGCCATGTTTTACGCCAATATAGTAGGGCGCAGTGAACTACTGCGTAGTAGAATCGTCTTTTTGCTAGCAGATGGATAACTCTCTTACGAAATAAGTGACGCAAGTTAGTAAGAACCAGGCGAGCCTGCTGTATCGTTGCTGAGATTTCGTCAGTCACCAGACCATCAGCATTGATGAAACTCCTAAGGTAAGTGAAGCGGTTGAAACGCTCAACTGCTTCACTCCCTATCATTAGTTCAGGTGCCGATGCAACCCAGTCTTGAAGCAACATTTTGCATTTCGAGGGGGAAAACCGCATCCCGAACATGCTTGCATTGTTGCTTATGGTAGTCAGAAGACTCTGCATTTTGTCAGCGTCTTCACCAAGTAGGACTATGTCATGGGCATACTCTATCTAAGTCAACAACCGAGTCTCCTCGTAGATAGTCGACCCCTGACAAGTCAGATGAAGAGAATGGTAACTCTAAAAGCATATCTACGACAAAGTTAAACAAGAAAGGAGAGAGTGGATTGCCTTGACGGACACCACTTGAAGTAAAGAATTCCGATGACAGTTTGCTATAAGCTCTTACTGTACCAAAGGTGTTCGAGTAGAGAGCTTGTATATAGAGTTAATGTACTTCTTTGGTACATCTTTCAATGACAAACACTACCACAGAACCTCACGATCTACTGAGTCAGATTCCGTCTTAAGGTCGTCGAGACATTTGGTGGTCACACATTTCTAACACATGTCCACAAGTTTAATTCCGTTAGATTGCTTCAAAACATATATATATATATATATATTCTTCATTACTGAGACCGAGAAATGAGAAGACATATTTTGCGAGATAGTACCATTTCGTGCTTTCTCGTCAGTCACATACAGGCAACATGTTATTTGTGTAAATACAGTTTTGGAAGATAAGGTCAAAATTTCTTATTTAGCATGACATTCACTCACTAGAACCATGGTAAACAAAACTCAACATACAGTTGTTTTTGAACACAAAGTTGGACTTTTCCAATCAATCAAGATAGCTTCGAGTAGTTTCAGTGTGTGTGTGTGTGTGGGTTTTGATGACATGTCACAACTCTAAATTCTGATTTGGGTCAATTTGATGATCACTCATCATTAGATGTTTGCCAATGGACAAGGCTGGCTTTCTTGATCGAACTTGAGATGACGAACTAGGTTGATGAATCATGGATTTGATTAACTATTTTGGAATATGTTCCCCTATCCTGTCTTCCAATCGGCGATCTGTCCTCCCTAAGTAACTTTCTCCACAGTTGCATGTGAATTGGTAAATACATTGGGATTTGGACTGAATCGGTCTTGGAGACTTGATTGGGGTAACTGAGATCGATTGGGTTGTTGTTATAAGCCTCAGATTAGCTGCATTGAAGGTCTTTTTTATTGCAGCTGCAGTCTGTTTGGTTGTAATTTTCATGCACTGGTTTCTTGGGCACATCAGTTGCTATCAGTTTCGTTGTAGTTGTGTTCTGATGACCAGTATCAAATTGTGTGTGACCTTATCTTCAAAACTGTATTTACACAAATAACATGTTGCTTGTATGTGACTGACGAGAAAGCATGAAATGGTACTACTATCTCACAAAATATGTCTTCTCATTTCTCTGTTCAAATTTATCAAAGGGAATCACTGTTTTGATTTACTGAAACCATTTTTTCATACTGATACTACGTTTCACTAAAATTAACTACCGTTTCTTATTTTTTATTCCATTTCAATTATTCACAGGTTTCATTGAATAATCAATAAATTATTTATTTGGAATAATAAAAGTCACAGCAACAAACAAACTAGCAAACAGACAAATGGTAATATTCATCATTGGCCTTTCTTTATATAGTCTATAAATATTTCAATGAATTACACAAATGCAAATTTAGCAAGTGTTTTTTGATTTTCTCTTTCTCTCTCTCTCTGTGTTGTCATTCATTCATTCATTCATTCATATAAAATGACACATACATATATCCTTGTCTCATCATTGATTATCATCAAGTCTCTCTCTATACACACACACACACAAACACACATGTATGTTTGTTTCTTTTCCATAAATAATTTGTATATTACTTGTCACATTATGTCATCTATTGCCTTTCTACTACTACTATTACTACTTCTTGATATCTAACCACACCCCCCCCATTGATCACATGCATTATTCAGGTTTTGATATTATTATTCTTCTTCTTCTTGACGATGATTAATTACATCATCACTAAACATTTCTTCATCATCATCATCATCCTATATGTACATGGTTTACTTGTCTTTTTATTCTTCTGCTTCTAAAATTTCATTTGTTTTTATTTCTTTTTTGTTTTAATAATTTCAAATTATGAATGTTCAATATTTGGCGCCATTTATTTGTATTTAAATTATGATCATGATTATGATTATTATTATTATTCATAATGATGTCTTCCTTTTAAATTGAAGAAGAATACTTTTTTATATTTCTTCTGTGTATTTAATATGATGATGATGATGTCTAAGTGTTGTTTTCTCTTTTTTTTCTAATAAAATGTATGTTTTTTCGTGGGGATCATTTAAACAACAATAAGTTGATGATGATGATGATGATTGATCATTGAATATTCAATGCACTATGGTTATTATTACATATTTTAAAATTTTTGAATGGAAGGGAAGAAATAAACAAGTATTGTCCTAGAATTATTATTATTATTATTATTAATATTGAACATTGAAAATGAGTGTTAACGACCTCAAGTGTTTTTTAATGTTAGAATTTTAAACAAGATTTCTTCTGATTTTTTTGCTTTCAATGTTCAATGTTCAGTGTTCAATGCTGCTGCAATCGATTTTTGTTTTGTGTTTTATTCTCCCTCTTTGTGTTCATGTCGAATGGTGGGGAGGTATGGGGATAAGAGAGCAAAGAAAAACAATTCATCGCATTTCACTTTTTTTGGTGTGTTTCATTCTGGTTTCTTATTGTTCTTTTGTGAAATTATTTAGTTTCACTGTTCGGTAGTATGATTATTATATTGAAGCTTATCTCTCGTTTACGAATATATACACAGAAAAATCTAATCAAACTACTACTAATTGTTTTAACTACTACAAATCAATAAATACATACATAAGTCATCTTCTTTTCATGAATGGGACATTTGTTGTAACAGGTCTATTGTTCACTCTTTTTCCCTATCCTCCTCCCCATCGAGCCCCATTTTAAATTATTCAACACAATTTTGTGAGGGATATTATGTATTTTAGGTGTTTTTTTCTGTCTAAATATTACTACGACTCACAATTTGTATTTTTGTTTTCAATATGTTTGTCTTACTATATTTATTTATGTTCTGTGCATTACAATTATGTGCGTGTGTGTTTGTATCACTATCTTTTCAATTCATCAACCAATTTGATTGGTTGACAATAGTCTCTGATATTCTATTGGTTGACTGTTCTTTTATCTTTTTTTTTCTAAATTAAAAGTGCAAACGAACCGATAATTTGATTGGTTCACATTTCAATTCACTAAACTCATATATAATCAATGTGAGTCATACGTTTCTTTTGAAAATCAATAGTTATGTTCTATTTTATTCATTTAAAAAATATTAGACAAATTTTTAATATTATTGTTTGAGTAATTTATGCGATTAGGAAATTCTTTTTTGTACGGTTTAAACATCATGAACAGTTGTTTACTTTTGAAATGTATTGTGCTGTATAACTAAATAATAATAATGATAATAATAATAACGAATTGATTGGAATTATACTTTTCCAGCTAGTTAGTTAGTTAGTGAATAATCTTATTTTTTTTGCAATGTATGTAGGATCCAAACTGAGGTTTGGACTGAGGAATAACTTTCTAGGTAGTATAGATACGCGCCTTGCCCAGTTTAAAACCAAAACAAGTGATTTGAGTAAATGACGGTTCTAATATTCTTCATAAATATAAATGAACATCATTACCTACGCAAATAATACCGCTCAGTTATTCCACCAACAATTGTTTAAATATTCAAATCAACAACAACAGATAACTGATATTCTATCTTTTCTGTATAGATCAGATTCGTTCGACAGATAATATTTGGTTGCTTTATAACACAGAGTGTTTCCTATTCTGGAAGAGTGCTTCAATTCACAATCAAAATGCTCAATTCTAGTCCATGAAAGCAACACAATCAAAAGAGGAACAAATCAATATGGTTGTCGCCATGACTAAGTATCACCTTAAACAACCATAAATGCAGTTCAGAAAGAAACACAGAAACTCAGTGAAGGCTGAAGAACTGGAAACTATAATAAAATGGCAAATATTATAATCACAAAATGGAATCGAACAGACTACACAAAATGAACAACTGAAGGAATCAATAAGGACAAATTACAAATGTATACATGGATAGATCTTCACAAACAAAGCCTTCAAAAATGGATATTGCACTGTATTCATTCGAATTTGCGTACACTCTTTTAAGATATTAGAAGGTTGCGACTCACTGTTATGAAACCGATGATTTTAGTTTGGTGTTAGTCGGTATTCGTCAGAGAGAGAGAAGACCTAATTATTGGATAATCATGATCATATCCACTACTCACCGATCAATCGTACAAGAGATCAGTTGCCACCCAAGTAGTTCAGTAGTAGTATCGTCTTAAGCTGATTCATGTAGGTTTGAATGTCATGGGGGGGGGGATGGCATTAATTTCTTCAATGTTGCAGGTAACCTGGATCAACTTGAGTCCCATACACCAGGACGAAACGGCCGTCTTTCAGTGCTTCCAGGTTTCTAATGGTGCTGGTCTAACAATGATTGATTGATGGTTTCAAATGTGTAAAAACACTAATCTTCATAACTCTGATTGAAAATATCAACTCGGGTTGTCTGCTGACTACCTCTAATGGTGTACCATATTGATGTCTCACAACATTTGGGTTAGTACTCATGTTACATCATTGATATTCCAAACTAATGTTCCAAATTCAAATTATCCACTCTGGAAATTCATTTGTCAATCGTTGGCGAAAACTACAAAATCTCTCTTTTTATCCATTATCACGTGTGCTTTTCAAAATTTCAAAAGTTATTAAAACATAGATAAATGTAAGAATATATATATTTTTTTTCAAAAAATTCTCTTCAGGCTCTACAGTCAGTTGTATGTATTATCCAAATTAATAATCCATGAAAAGTGGCTAACTGTTAAGTGAAATACATCGTTTAAAATTGTAACATGTGGATGAAGGATTGTTTGTAATGTATAAATTATTAGTGTGAGGATAATCAATATAAAGTCCACGTGTTATGATCGTCAATTGAATATGCTTGAAATTACTATTACGAGTTCATCTTAGAGTCGTTAAACGAGAGTGAAGACAATGATGATCCAGTGACACGATAGGTTATTCTAATCAGAGCGTCCTAATGCCCCCCACTAAGTAGAAGAGGAAGAAGTTTTGATATAAGGTAGAAAGTGTATTCTACAAGCACACAGAAATTATGAGGTTGACAAGCACACGAATCGAGTTTATTTATACAACATGATAGAAACGTCCTTGGGAGAGCCACAAAAATAGCGAACTAAAATAATACATCAACCAATGACTGTCAGGGATTTTCCGAGTGGGAAATGTAATCTCAAGTAAATACATATCAGGGATTAGGTCATATACAAAAGGTACGAACTAGTCGATAAATTTCTTAAAATGTTGCAAGAGTTCTAATAATTGTTGGCAACATTGATACTCGTAATAATGATAATAATAATGTTGGGGATGTTAGATCCCCAGAACTCCCTTGATAAATGCCTTATTTTAGTTTTCACGTTTGCCAGCATGAACTGATCAGTTGACCTTGAGATTTCATTTCCCACCAGCAAAATCCATGGCTGTGATTGGCTGCTGTGTATTTTAGTGTGCTATTTTCTTAACTATCCCAAGGACGTTTATATGATGTATAAATAAACGAGAGTTGTGTGCTTTATTGTATTGTGTGCTTGCTGGGTGTTTGTAGAATATACTTTCTACGCTTACAAAGCCTTTTATCTTCAGCTTGGGATTCAAGGTAGCCTATCTGGACGCTGGTAATTGTCTCGTTCGCGTTTATCGACTAAGGTGAACTCGTAATAGCTTCAAGCGTACCTAGTAATGAACATATCAAATAATAATAATAATAATAATAATAATAATAGTAATAATGAAAGTGAACTGAGTCATAGTGGTAAGTGTAGACTACCAGGTTAGGTCCGCGAGACAATAGTAACCGATGGTTAGAAACTTTCATTGATATGGCTCAAAATCGTTTGGAATGGCACAGATGCATCCATTATTTGTCTTCTCTCAAATTCTAATCCCTTCAATTCCTCATCATCTCTGTCTCACTGAATTATACTTCTTGAATACTATCTTCGAACCCTAATCTACTACATTACCACTAATACTTCTACTATATCTAACACTATAGGATTGCAATTGACAATTACATCTCCGTGTTAATGCCGTATGGCAACCTAAACTTATGTACTTACGTACGAAGTTCTACGTTGTAAATGACTGACTGACTGTGTATATGCATTACAATTGTATCGGTAAAAGAAGATACAACTTAACCATCGCACTGGGAGATAATCTTGAGCACCAGTTTACAAATTCTTAGAACATTAGCTCACGTAACTTACTTCACAGGACCAGTTGAAATGAACAGATACTGGAAGAGAGGTGAACAGTCTGGGTTGTACATTTATTACATCTTTACTGCGAAAAAAAACAACTACACATTCTTGAGTCAGTAAAAGGATCTTCAACTGTTTGGTCGTGTTATGGTCTATCATTTTTACATCTATCTATATTTTGGATTATCATTAGACTGAAAAATGAAATCTAAGGAAGATGTTTGAATCTATCAGTTTTGAAGGATGCTCTAGTGTGATGGTTGTACATTATGATAAATAGTTGTGTAACATCAACAAGTTTTCATGGCATAAATCGTCAATATTGATTAGGTAAACTAAGCAAGAAACTATTAACTTTCTTCTATTTGTAACTGAGTAAATGGATGCTACTCACAAACTGACTTATAAGTAGTATATATAGAGCTGTTAGCAAATTCAACTGTACATTTGACTAAACACACTAGGTGCTCGTGTGCACGAAATTACCAATTTCTAGAATATCTCCTAAAATACATCTAACCGAAAAAATGTCATAACTGACTACTAGTTGGCTTAATTGAGTAGTAGTTTAGCGGTTAGATGAAATGTAATACCTACCTATGTGTCATTGAAACATTGTCAATTGAATTCGAACAGAAAATCTACATGACTAGTATATATACATAGCAATAATCGTTACTCAATTATAAAATATCTTATTATCCTATAAGAATTCTATCACTGATCGAACAGCTCAACAACTTTGAAAAACTTAGTAAGTTAGACGATCAGAATCTCATATGTCGACTGTCAATTCGTTTTAAAAAATTACAGGTACACCTTGTTGACTAACAGTGGTCCTTGAGTGATTATTATCAACTTTAAAATTGCAGATCCATCCATCCATCTGACGAGTTCCGTATAGAATGAAATGTATGTGTTAGATTACACCACACTATTAGCGACTACCCATTCACTTGTATCGGCACCTGAACTAGTGATAGGCAGTGAAGCCGCCAGTGAGAGTAGAAGATATTCGTAGACTACTGATCGTAGGTGTCTCCGATTTGTTCAAACTTCATCATTTGAGGTGGTTGAGACATGTGTTGCGTATGCCTAACCACCGAATGCCTCGTCGAGATATGCTTTGCAATGTAGGAATAGGTTGCAAGAAAGCTAGGGGCGGCCAGATCAAAACATGACACAAATCCATGAAGTCACTGACAACTGGACTGAATCACGTTGGTAGATGTAGACTACCTGGTTGGGGTACGCTAGACGATAGTAAGTTAGCGACCCTGCATGACATGGCTCAAAACCGTTTGCAATGGCGCAGGTGCATTTATTCTTTGTGTTCTCTCAATTCCTAACCTTCAGAGTTCCTCATCACTTCTATCTTTATATTTTTAAGTTTATTTCACTAGATTCTACTTTTTTAATAATATCATCGAACCCTAATTTCGAATACTACTAATACTTCTACTACCTCTACTACTATAGCATTTGAAGTGACAATTGCATCTCTGTTCGCTAATATGGTATGGCAACTTGAACTATGATGTACTCACGTACAAAGTTCTATATTGTTATTGTTGACTGACTGACTGACTGATTGATGACCCATTCACACTACTGGCCAATCAAATCTTGATCATTTACAATTTCTAGACAATTTATTTCATTTCCAATTAGATTGACTAAAACAACAATCAATCGATGAATGTTTGTTTTTTTGATTAACAGAATAAAAAAACAAAACGATAATCACAATACAAAAATCATCATCATCATCATAGTTAACAGTACAACAATCATTGCACTGAAAATATTCTATCGTAAAAGACAGATAGATAGACAGACACAGACAGACAGACATAGGGAACAAACCAATAAACAAACATTTGTACAAACCGCTCAAACAAACAAAATAAAATCACATGTTCAATGCTAGGGAAATATCAATCAATTATCAGTTGAAAAGTATTTGCTTTCATTCTTTTAGTTAATTAAATTAAATTAAATTTAATTAATTAATTAAATAATTAATCAATCAATAAAATAGATGAGCATGGAAATAAAAACACAACACAACACAAAGAATGCAACAACTTCCAGAAAAATACAAGTCGTCGTAAACTTCAAAATTCTGTGTACAAAATTTTAAAAAAAGAAATGGTTCTTTTATAAATTTGACCAAAACACAAATGTTTGAACATTCGAACAAAAAAGTTCCATTTACGAATAATAATAATAATAATAAATAAACTGAAAACAAACAAGAATATTGTACAATGAAATAAATATATATGAAAGACAAAAATTTTGTCATACATTTCATATTGCTTCAGGTCATTATTATCATTGCGTCATATACAAATACGCACACATACACACACACATATATGGTATTTACATTTCAAAAGGACGCGGAGCGGGAGAAGAGGAACACAGGTACACATACATACACACATTAAGGGGGAATACATGACGACAGATGAGAAGTACCATATAAGATTGTTCAAAAAATAAAAAAACAAAACACCTATCCGGATTTACATCACAAAAAAACGGAATATTTTTTTACAGAAGTAAACAACCATTATTGAAACGCCAACACACATTAGGACAGATAATAATAATAATAATCATTATTATTATTATTATTATTATTATTATTATTATTATTATTATTATTCAACAAGATAGTACGCTTCAATTTCCATTGGATTAACATGAATACGATTCATTTTATTTGATTGTAACCTGTGATTGGTGTTTGATGAAGTGCCGTCATCTGGCAATGGAATCATTGTTAAATTTGTTTGTAATGCATGTGTTAATTGAATCGAACCAAATAATTCTTGTATATTAAGCTGTAATTTAAAACAAAAAAAATTATAAGAAGATAGAGACAATTGCTAGGATATTCATTCAAAATATCTTAAGAGAATTATTATTGGTCAATTTCTATTGGTTAATTCCTACTGGTCAATTTTATGGTCGTCCTAGATATCAATGTCACGTACTCCAATGTTGTTTCTTATTGGTCGTCTTAACTGTCAATGTCACAGACTTCGATACTCTTTCCTATTCGACCAAAATGTATAAATGCGCATTATGTGTAACGTTTTATGACCAGGACCCGGATCCCTAGTCCGAGGTCCTGATTCTCTTCTGGACTGGGACCTCGTACTTTCTGGATGCTTGTAGAATACCGGTTCTACTTCATATCAAGTCTCGTCTTCTTTTACTAAATATAGGGGTTGGGATAATCGGATTTGAGTAGCATGTCGTGTCACCGGATCCTCGATCCTCGCTCCTCGTTTTCCGACTAAGGCAAACTCGTAATGGCTCAAGCATATCAAGTTGAAGTATTTACGTGCAGGCGTAACACAAATAAGGTTTTTCGATCATCATCATTAGAAACCTGAAAGCATTGGATGGCCATTTTGTTCAATGTCGTGAATCAGTCCCATACACTAGAAGGAAATTGCGGTACAGTGATACCGAGTTTCTAATGGTGATGATTTTTGTTTTATTTCGACCAATTTGGTCTCGTGTGCTGTTACTGGTATGAGGGCGGTTGTCACTTCCCGGCTGCCCACACCGTGGAAGGTTGTTTCTTGAAGGACCTGAAAAGGAAGATAGATTAGTGTTGGTCTTAGAGACCTGGGAGCGTGACCGCAGAGTCCAAGGGACAACTACTTGAAGGCCGGTCACGCACGGTCTTTTTATTAAAGGTTTTTTGGGTAATAGCTCCGCTCTTGAAAGCCGTTAGTGGGCACCCTTACCACCGGAGACGGAAATCCGTGAGGTAAGGTGAGGTGTGACATTTTTACGGTCGACCTTTTCTAACCTTCCATCCTTCCTTGTAAGAAGGTAGCATCGCTGCAGATGCTGGTTGTCCGAGGGAAACACACCTTACTGCTGTCACACCCCTCCATCACAGTCAGCAGTACGACTTCGCCCTCAGACCTAATGATGATGATGGTCTTACACAATGATCGATTTCATGATTTCAATGAGAAATAATTGATTTCACTAGTCAATATAATTGACGTCTGAGGATTCTCTCTAAAGGAAAGTTTAACAGCTAAATAAAAATATATGTAAGACAACAAGAACAGTGAGGAGTCCCATACCAGGACGAAACGGCTGTCTTTCAGTGCTTCCAGGTTTCTAATGGTGGTCTAACATTGATCGATTCATGGTTTCAAAAATGTGTAAAAAAACAAGTATTTACAATACTCAATCCGATTCAATATCGTTGGAATCAGTATTAGTTATGGACATTTCTGCAAAAATTCTTTTATCGGAAGTTTCTCTTGAAGATACTGACGGTCGTCTAGAAGGATGATATACAGAAAACGTTGTCATCCAATCAATAGTCGGAACATGTTGGCGACATCAGATCCCGAAAACTTACTTACAAAATATCATCCTAATTTTGAATTTTTTTGCATGTTTTCGAGCATAAGTCAGTCGCTTAGTTGACCTTCGGCTTATATTTCCCATTCGGGAAATCTTTGACTGTCGTTGGTTGATTGATTATTTTAATAGGCTATTTTGTGGCTATTTCCAAGGGCGTTTCTATCATGTTGTATGAATGAACTCGATTTATGTGCTTGTATAGTATAGTATAACGATTAACTGATATTAATTGACTGATTATAGTAATTTGAATTTAAGCTCCCTATGCATCTGATTTTTGAATACAACATACGCTTATCGAGAAACTTGAAGATCCGGGCATTGTTATGCATGAGCACTGACTGAACAATTTCAATCCATCTAGTGTTTATGAGTTTTCTCAACAATGCCCTCTACTTAACCAGTTTAATTCAGTATAAACCATTTAATCTATTGAATTCATCAACATTCTCTCTTTTGGCGCCTTTAAATAACCCAATCACAAATAGACAATTAAAACAAAATACACGTTTTTTGAAACCATGAATCGATCAATGTTAGATCACCATTAGAAACCTGGAAGCACTGAAAGACAGCCGTTTCGTCCTGGTATGGGACTCCTCAGCAGTGGGCATCCATGACTCCTGCACCCCGCAGGATTTGAACTCAGGACCTTCGGTATTGTGCGCGAACGCCTAACCATTGGACCACTGAACCGGTATCTAACGGTGTTAATGTCTAACTTGATCAATTCACGGAATTGCACAACCTCATACACACAGTCTTCGGTAGTCGTTACTGTCTACACCTGAAAACAGGTTGAATTGCACTGGTCACACATCTTCCCACCACTAGAACTCGGGGAAGATTACTCACCAAGCTAGTCGTCGTCACTAGTGAGCACAGTTAAATTTGCATTACAGGGGGGTTGTGAAGATTGTTAAGTTACACATTTTTTTTTGAAACCATGAATCGGTCAATGTTAGATCACCACAAAATAGTTTGAACACTTCACATAACTGTCAATCAATTCATTTTGAGGTTGATGATGTAACTTGACTTGATGTACACCTAACCTACAACAACATATTACATTATTAACTAGGACTACTAACTGATTGATTTCATTTGATTCTGTTCAAATAAACAAACAAAATCAAATAATTCTTTTCAATTTCAAACAATCAAACTTACTCCTCCATCTTGTTCATTAGGTTGATTATTGAAACATTCTGTGTAGAAATCAATTTTTGGCAAATTTTGTGCATGACACATTGATAAATAACGTCGAAAAATTACACCAACTTGAGTATTTGGTGCAGCATGAAATTCTGTTATTAATAATAATTGAAAAATAAAATAAAATTACAGATTCATTCAAAGTAAGAAACTAGAAAGCATTCAATTGATCAAAGTTCAATTATTTTGTCCAACTATATTTATTATGCTCGGTGAATTAATTGAATATGCTTGAAACTATACTACTATTACGAGTTCATCTTAGAGTTAGTCGGTAAACGAGAGTGAAGACAAATGATGATCCATTGACACGATAGGCTACTCGTCATAGGTGTCTTCGAAGCATTGCTCGTATATTCTGGGACACCCAAGTGAGCAACGCTGTTATTAGGAAACGGGTGCTAGGTTAGAATGGCAGATCAATAGATGAAGTAATGAAACTTCATCAGTTGAGGTGGTTGGGACATGTGTTACGTATGCCTAACCACCGACTGCCTCGTTGAGCTATGTTTTGTAGTGAAAGAGTAGGTTGGAAGGAAGTTAGGGGCGGCCAGAACATAACATGACACAAATCCATCAAGTCATTGACAAGTGGACTGAGTCATGTCGGTAGTAGTCGACTACCTGGTTGGGGTCCGTGAGATGATAACGATCGATGCTTAGAGACCCTGAGAGACATGGTTCGAAACCGTTTGCAATGGCGCAGGTACATTCATTCTTTGTGTTCTCTCAAATCCTAACCTTCTGGATTATTCAACCTCTCTAGTTTTGACTTTCTAAACTTTTCTCACTGAATCATACTTTTTGAATAATATCTTCTCATCCTAACCTCTCCGATTACTTCTAATACCCTTACTACCTCTTCTACTATTGGATTTGAAGTGACAATTATATCTTTGTGCTAATGTGATATGGCAACACGAAGTTCTACGTTGACAGTTTTATTAGACGACCACGCCCTGAGCCTTTGAACCTACAAGTCTAATCCATGAGACAATGGAGCAATGTCTGGAGATGTAGTCCCATAGTAGCCAGTGGCAAACAAATGGCTCATACTCTATTTTTCCCCCTTAAGAATTCATTGGTTTGCAATGAAGCCTATCGAACACCACCTCATCTAGATAGATCCTCCATACTCATTAACTCACTCTCGGTTCAAGCTCCGGGCAGCATTCACCAATTCGTTATCTCAATTTTGTGCACAACACCCTACCCCTATGAAAAGACAATGTGTAGTAAGTAGTAGTGTAGTGAAGGAGAACACAGGTGAGGGCAACCGAATTGTATTTAACGAAAATTACAGAGTTACTCAGTAAAATAGGAAAACCATATCGTAACTCGTTCATTTGCAAATCTTCAATCCATCATCAATCCATTGTCTGACATTTCACTTATTCATGCTATTTCATACACAAATTCCATTGTGTTCCCACTCTTCTTCCTTTCTTGATCTTCCCCCATCTTCTGCTGCCAGACATTACGTTTACACTCGCGTCATATACTACTTATAAGTAGTGAGCACCACAGTAGGATCCGCGCTAGTTTAAATCTACACTATCTTTTAGATTTTTTTTCAACACACTAACAAATAAATGAGAGTAAATAAAATAATAATTATATACTCACTTACCTATTGGTAATTTCCCATTATGAAATGTTTTCATTGTGACTAATTCATAATCACATGGTAGACCAGATGATGATTTCGGCAGTAGATTATATTCATTGACAAGTAAATTATTTAAATTTGGTTGATTCACATAAAATTTATGTATTGGTCGTAATAGATCATGTAAAATTTGTTGTGAAAATACAGTTAAACTTGGATTAATCTTTATACAAAAAGAGAGAAATTAATAGGGAAAAAACATTAACATATTTTATTCATTGAAACAGTTATAATTGACACAAAGCGGTATCTATCTATCTATCTATCTATCTATCTATATATATATATATATATATATATATATTTGAAACCATGAATCGATCAATGTTAGACCACCATTAGAAACCTGGAAGCACTGCAAGACGGCCGTTTCGTCCTGGTATGGGACTACTCATCAGCAGTGCGCATCCACGACTCCTGCACCCCGCGGACGCCTAACCATCGGAACAGTGAGCCGGTATCGAACGGTGTTAATGTCTAGCTTGATCAATTCACGGAGTTGCGCAACCTCATACACAGTCTTCGGTAGTAGTTACTGTCTACACACGAAAACAGGTTGAACTTCACTGGTCACGTCTTCCCACTAGAACTCGGAGAAGATTCTTCATGAAGCTAGTCACTATTGAGCACAGGTAATTTGCATAACGGGGTTGTGAAGATTGTTAAGTTGTACATTTTAAATCATGAATCGATCACTTTCGGACCACTTTTAGAAATCTAGAAGCACTGAAAGATGGCCGTTTCGTCCTGGTATGCGACCGGAGGTCTTGGGTTTGAATCCCGTGAGGTGCAGAAGTCGTGGATGCGCACTGCCACTGATGAGTCCCTGTTAGGATATTCATCGAATTTTTTAAGAGAATTATTGATCAATTCCTATTGGTTAGTTCCTACTGGTCAATTTTATGGTTGTCCTGACTATCAATGTCACTTCAAATGTTGCTTCCTATTGGTCGTCTTAACTGTCAATGTCACAGAATTCGATGCTGTTTCCTATTCGACCTAAATGTATAAATACGCATTATCTGTAACATTTTATGATCAAGACCCGGTCTCGGATCCGTAGTTCGGGATTTTGATTCTCTTCTGGATTCGGACCTCGTACTTTCTGAATGCTTGTAGAACACACGTTCTACTTCATATCATGTCTTCTTATTTCAACTAAACTCTTGAGAGGCTATAGACTGACAGGTCTAATTCCTAAGGCAGTAGGGAATGTAGTCCTGATGACCGACAATAGGTTCATACGCCATTTCCTGACCGAGGCTGCTACTTTGACGTGGAGGTCGGGTACACCTATCGTGATGACTTAACCGAGCTATATTGGCTGGAACATATATTTCTGTAGGTCCTACCATGTCAGTCAGGTCGATTGGAGAACGGTGAGGCTAAAGGCAGTAACTTAAGGTCTGAGGGTGAAGTCGTACTTCGACTGTAGAGGGGTGTGACAGCAGTAAGGTGTTTCCCTCGGACAACCAGCATCTGCAGAGATGTTGCCTTCTCATAAGGAAGGGAGGGGCTACGAAGGGTTGACTCTAAAACTGTCACACCTTACCCTACCCCACGGGTTTCCGTAAACGATGGTAAGGCCTTTTAAATAAGAGCGAAGCTAACACTTGCAAAACATCCCATAAAACTGCCGCGTGTGACCAACCTCAGGAAGTTGTCGCTTAGGCTCTGCGGTAACGCTCTCAGGTCAATAAGACCAACGTTAATCTAATTTCAGTTTCCTCAAGAAGTACCCTTCCATGGTGTTGGCATCCGGGAAGTGAGTGACATCTGCCCTCATATCCTTAACAGCACACAAGATCAAATATAAGTCACAATTACAAGTCATTTTATTTTTCGGGATCCTGTAGCCCATGTGACCATTATGGTATGAGTATTGAGAATTACTGAACTCTATTTGGAGGATTCGCGTACACACTCACTAACCAAGTTCGAATCCTGGTCAAACATTCACTTTTCATCCTTTAAATTTCTTACACAAGAGTGAGACAGTGAGAAGGCGGGGCAGTGAACATTCAAATCACTGTAGCAGTCAATTAATAATAATAATAATGCTCACTAGTGACTAGCTTCGTGAGGAATCTTCTCCGAGTTCTAGTGGGAAGACGTGACCAGTGAAGTTCAACCTGTTCGGGTGTAGACAGTAGCTACCGAAGACTGTGTATCAGGTTGCGCAACCTCCGTGAATTGATCCAGTTAGACATTAACACCGTTAGATACCGGCTCAGTGGTTAGGCGTTCGCCTACAATACCGAAGGTCCTGGGTTCGAATCCTGTAGGGTGCAGAAGTCGTGGATGCGCACTGCCACTGATGAGTCCCATACCAGGACGAAACGGTCGTCCTGCAGTGCTTCCAGGTTTCTAATGATGATGGTCTAACATTGATCGATTCGTGGTTTCAAATAATAATAATAATAATAATAATAATAATAATAATCATAACAATAAACTCACCGTTTTCTCAGTTTTCTCAACCGAAATTATCTCAGCAAATAAATGTAATCGTGATTGTACTATCCATTCACCAGCTAAATTTGATTGAACACCACGTGAATCATCACGTGATGATCGACGATCAATCCATACATTGATTTGACCAATTTGTGGATTCACTACACCTGTTGGATGTGAAGTGAATAGATTGAGTCGATGAAATTGTTTCATTCCAGTTTGTTGTTGATGATGATCGGTATTGATTTCTTGTTCTATATAAGCACCACAGGCAATTGGATAAACATTACCTTGTAAAGGTATTTTATCATGATATTTTCTTTGAATAAACTATTTAAATAAAACGAAACAAAACAAAAAGGTAACAAGACATTCAAAAAACAATATGGTTGTATTGTAGTGTATGCTACTTATACGAGCGATATAAGTAGTAGTATAAGAAGGGACGTGAAAGAAGAACTCTCACGGTCACAAGAGAAAAACGGAAAGCAAATGAAGCAAAATGGATCAAGAAGTAAATGGAGTAGTACCAAGGAAGCAACAACAGGAATGGAAGAAGAATGATGAAGCGTTGGAAGTCACGACTCAAAGATGGTGTGCAAAAAGAGAGGTGTTCAATGTAATGTTCTCGTTTTTAATTGACTCAGAGCGTAAATTTGCTAAATACAATCTTCCGCGCCTGCCTCAGTCTTCTCAGTATTTGTTTTGTTATGCTCGGTGAATTGAATATGCTTGAGACTATACTATTACGAGTTCATCTTTGAGTCAGTCGGTAAACGAAAGTGAAGACAATGATGATTCAGTGATACGATAGGCTACTACTCTAATCCGAGCGTACCAAGGCTCCACCACTAAGTAGAGGAAGAAGTCTTGACAAGACGTAGAAAAGTGTATTCTACAAGCAGCACCCAGAAAATATGAGGTTGACAAGCAGACACAATCGAGTTTATTTATACAACATGATAGAAACGTCCTTGGGAGAGCCGCAAAAATAGTGTACTAAATAAATGCACCAGCCAATAACAATGAAGAATTTTCCGAGTGGGAAATGCAATCTCAAGGTCAACTGATCAACCCATGCTCGAAAACATAAAAGAATCCAAAATTAGGACCATTATCAAGTGAGTACTGGGGATCTAACGTCCCCAACAGTATTGTGAAAATATTCAATGTTCATTGAACAGACAGAATGTGATATTTTCAGCGTAAATTTCGTTTGTTTTAATGATTAATGTATAAAGTATGTTTGATTTAAAGAACTTGATATTTATGACGAGAGAAGTTAAGATTTTTCTAATCTTATCAAACTTTGGATAAATTTATTCTAATAGCATTCATTGGCAGCCATAGATATTATGATCATGTGGTATTTTTTAATGGTGCATTGTTTCAATTTGACCGCTGTGAATAGTTAATCGTTCAATAAAAAAAATTATTTTAGTAGTGGTGATTACACAGTATATGTATGATATGAGATATAAATTATGGGCTACACTGACTGACCACTCACTGACTGGTGACTAATGTTATGTTTGTGTAGTACTTAGCGCTGATCACAAATCCTATGAATTAGGTTGCAATGTAAGCTAGTCACGAATCATGAGTTGTAAAATTCATCAAAAATGTTTTGAAAACTAGAGTTAGACTATGTCGGATATAAGACAAGTTATCCTATTTTACGCAATGTAAGATAATTGTATACTATTTTATGTCAAAACTAGATACTAAGAAGATCAGTTGTTTACAGATTAGGCGTCCATTAAGACGAGAACTGAAAGTCCTGAGCTTCAACACCACTATTCGATGGAATTTCGAAAGAACACTGTTAATGAGTTTCATATCCAGTGTTTCCTTGTTTCGAATCGCTGTCTAACACAAAGTTAGATTACAATGTAATGTAAATAATAAAACTGAAAAGTATCTTGCAGATTTAGTCGAATTAATCACAAAAACTGCATAAAATGCATCACAAAATTCAACTCCGCCTGCAGCAGCTCTTCTAGGGTTTACTGCCAGTCGTTCCAAGCCCGGATGAGGGTTGAGCATGGAGGTCAGTAACCTTATCCTGTAAAAAAACCAACTCGCCAAAAAAAGAATACGCTAACCAGTGATTGACTCGTCAGTTGATATGCTTGAATGCTATTATGAGTTCACTTTAGTCGGTAAACGGAATAAAGATCAACGATACAGTGACACGATAGGCTATTCTAATCCGATTGTCCCCAACCCGACTAACTATATCAAGAAATCTTGATAAGGCGTAGAGAGAATGTACTCTAAAAGCACTCATCAAATATGAGGTTGACAAGCACACAAATCAAGCTTATTTATACAACACCCTTGGTGAGAGCCACAAAAAATAGCGTACTAAAATAATCCATCAACCAATGACTGTCAAGGATTTTCCGAGTGCCAAAATACGAGCTGAAAGTCAACTGGCGCGAAAACACGTAAATTTAAAATTTCGGGATAAAACTACAAAAATTAGGACCTTTTCCAATAGTGAGTTTTGGGGGATCTACTTCAATCAATCCTACGGTGTAGACCAAAGGACAAAATGACAAACGAAGAAAAACCAAAGATCATCTACAAAATAAACAACTGCTCAGACTGTGAAAAGCAACACTACATAGGACAAAGTGGACAGACTCTTCAGCTTTGTTTACGTGAACAACAATTAGCAGTCAAACGCCACGACAACGCTTCGCTTATTATCAATACACACCGACAATTATGGACATACATTCGAATGCAACAATGTGGAAATACTGGGTAGGAGGAGGACAGAGAACACTAGGAAATTTTTAGAAGCTTGGCACTCAGGTCAATCAATCAGCAATCAACAAACACAACGACATTGACCAAATTTATCAACCAACCAGAAAAATCATAGGTGACAGGATCAAGAAACAGATCAAAAGCGGGATGTAATCAAAACAAAGGTGCAAACAACGACAGGTTTAATTAAGGTCAATAACAACAACAACAACCAATCAAGATCGAGGTTAGCAGAACAAGCTACAAGTCAAACATGGAGGGGAAATTCGAATGTTTCACTTCTTCGATCTGAAATTTGTGCAGCTGATGATGTTGTTCAGATGAAGAACAATCAAAGCTCCAAAACCAAAACACCCAGCTCAGAGAAACAAACACCAAACACCACAAGGGATCTACTATCCCCAACACCATGAAAAAAGTAATTCACTGGTTGGCGTGACCTAAGCTCTCCTATTCGGCGGTAGTAACAGAAGTAAGTAACTAAGTAAATAAGTAGTCACAAAATTCAGAAAAAATTCTATAATAATAAACACTTACTTGAAAACAATTCGAATCAGTATACATTAGACGATCTGGATTAGATAGATTCGTTTGTATTGTCATAAATAAATCAATATCAATTGATTGATCAAGTTTTATATTGACAATATTCTCAATTTCAATAAATTGTGATTGTAAACCAGCTAAAATGGAGGTGGTGGTATTGATTGCGGCGTTCGTTAGAATAATAACAGTAAAAAAAAAAAAGAATAAACAATTTTTAATGAACTAGTTGAGAGTTTAACAATTGAACGAATTAATGTAAAGAAAAACTATCCATCTAACTACTTACCTATACATGAACGTGTAGACCGCTTCACGTGTCTGGGGAGTCTCATCAGTGCCGATGGATGGACTGGTGACTGACGAAAACTCAGCTCGGATACAGAAGGCTCGATTGGCTTTTGCCAACCTGCGTCACTTATGGCGTAGGCGAGATATCCGTTTGCTAACCAAAGGACGAGTGTACTGTGCAACAATTTGCTCCGTCTTACTTTATGGCTGTGAAACATGGCCGTTAAGAGTAGATGATGTTCGTAGGTTACTAGTATTCGATCATAGATATTTAACAAGACAACCGTATAAGCAATGCTATCGTTAGGAAACGAGTTCTAGGTAAGGATGGCAAATCAATAGATGAAGTATTGAAACTTCATCAGTTGAAGTGTTTGGGACATGTGTTACGAATGCCTAAACACCAACTGCCTCGACGAGCTAGGTTTTGTGGTGTAGGAGTAGGTTGTAAGAAAGTTAGGGGCGGCCAAACCCAAAACATGGCATAATCCATGAAGTCATTGACAAGTGGACTGAGTCATGTTGATAGATGTAGGCTATGTGGTTGGGGTCCGCAAGACGATAGTCACCAATGGTTAGAGACCTTGAATGACATGTCTCAGAATCGTTTGCAATGGCGCAGGTGTATCCACTCTTTGTGTATTATGAAATTCTAACCTTCTGAATTCCTCATCATCTCTATCTTTCTCCTTCTAAATTCATCTTACTGAATTATACTTCTCGAATCATATCTTCGCTCCCTAATCTTCTCCATTACTGCTAATACTTCTATTAGTGCTATCACTGTTGGATTTGAACTGACAGTTGCGTCTCTGTGCTGATGGGGCATGGCAACCTGAGTTGATGTACTTATGAACGAAGTTCCATACCAGGACGAAACGGTCGTCCAGTGCTTCCAGATTCCATTTTTATCATAATCAATTTATTATATACTACTGAAAATTGTTATGATTAGCACCATTATGAATTGTGAGCAAATTAATACAATGAAAGCACAGGACAGCCGTTTCGTCCTATAGTATGAAACTTATCAGCAAGCAATGCACATCCATAACTCCTGCACCTTGCAACATTCGAACTCAGGACATCCGGTTATGCGTGCGTGGAATCGTTTAACCTTTGGACTAGTGGGCTGACATCCAACGGTGTTACTGTCTAACCTCACTCATTGTCTTCGATAGTAGTGAGATGGTGGAGAAAACTTGTAGCTCAGGTGGATGATTGTGGTGGTGTTTCGTTCTCTGAGCTGGTTGTTTTGGTTGTGGAGCTTTCATTGTTCTTCATCTGAACAACATCATCAGCTGCACAAACTTCAGATTGTAGAAGTGAACCATTCGAATTTCTCCACATCTGACCAGTAGCTTGTTCTGCTAACCTCGATCTTGATTGGTCGTTGTTGACCTTTGACCTGTCGTTGTTTGCAACGACAACCAAAACAACCAGCTCAGAGAACGAAACACCACCACAATTCGATAGTAGTTACTGCCTACACACTCGACCGGTGTGGAACTCCACTGATCATTACATCTTATTATCACTATAGAACTCCGAGAATTTCCTCACAAACCTTAATCATCACCACCAACCAGTGAAACCAATGAATCTAATGAGAATTATAAACTAATTGAAATTTTAAGCTATATTATTGTCAGATTTAATAAACGACACCTTGATAGAAAAAAATTTGTTCAATAGCCATGAGTCATTTCAGTCAATCAATCAATCAATCGTTTTATTGATTTTTTTTTTTGAAAAGAACCATAAGTGTATATTATTTTTTAATCGAAAGTTCATGAACTGCATGCAAATTTAACTGACCCTAAATACATACATACACACACACACACACACACACTCAACGATTGAGAATGTATGAATGAAGTTTGTCATAAAAAAATAAAATAAAATACACTTAAAATGAATATTTTTTTAAACGTGAACAATGTGTAATGACAACACACTATGGATAAGTTTGGATTATCGACGTCGCCACCTTTCGGGCTCTTTTTGTTGATAGTAGTAGTTCTGTAGTGAATGAGAACACAGGTGAGGGTAACCGGATTGTATTTAACGAAAATTACAGAGTTACTCAGTAAAATAGGGAAAAACCATATCGTAAATTGTTCATTTGCAAAATATCAGTTCATCATATCAAACTGGACTGTTGTTCCTGTTGCAAAACATCAACAATCCATTGTCACTATTCATGCGTTTCATACACAAATTCCATTGTGTTCCCACTCTTCTTCCTTTCTTGATCTTCCCCCATCTTCTGCTGCCAGACATTACGTTGACACTCACGTCATATACTACTTGTAAGTAGCTCGCACCACAGTTCGACTCAAATCGAATCCGTCTCCTCACAGTGTGTGTACACACCACACACGTGTAGGTGAGACCATATTCAGTGGATTAGTCATCCATGCATGCTAGCAATCGGTTCAATAATTTACATGTTAATTGAAATATAGATGAATGAACAAAGGTCAATGAGAATAGATATATAGATAGATCTATAAATCACTTACATGATTTATATAAACGAACTTTATGTATAACATATTGTGTATAGATTGTTACTTCATCCACTAAATTACCTTTAATGTAACTATATGATTTTGGATTTGATAAAGGCTAAAATGAAAACATGATATGAATAAGAAAAAAAGAAGAACAATTTAAAACAATTTTATTTAAAAGTCAAATCACTAACAGTGTTGAATATTTCATTGTTTATATGATGAAATATTAATCGTAGATAGACAAGTAATGACTGAAATCATGAATCGATCATTGCTCGACTGTGACGATTAGAAACTGGAAAGCATTGGACAAGCGTTTCGTCCCACAATGAGACTCATCAGTAGCGTGGGGAGCATTCATGACTTTGAACCCAGAACCTTTTTTGGTCTTGCACGCGAACGCTGAACTTCTGAATCATCAAGCTAGCCGGTATCTAATGGTGTTACTGTCTAACACTGATAATTCTAGGGATTTTGCGCGACCTTATTCGTTTGTCTTCAGCAGTTACTGCCTACACTCGAGAGAGAGTTGAACTTCACTGGTCACGTTGCATGCCGGCTCAGTGATACAGAGGTTAAACAGTCACGCACAAGACCGAAGGTCCTAGGTTCGAATCCTACAACAGTAGCAAGAGTCGTAGATGCGCACTGCTACTGATGAGTCCCAGTAACAGGACGAAACGCCTATCCAATGCTTCCATGTTTCTAATCATAACAGTCTAACAATGATTCATGATTTCTGTATGTTTTAATAAGCCAAAGGGGCTTCATTGATTCACAACATATACCTTTTTTAACTCAATCACAATAAATATACATCACAGTTGAATGTCGTTTATAATTTCACATTCAAAATATAACCGACTCCCTCTCAATGTAAACAAAAGAAAAACACATTGAATATTGAACAGGTGTTCAATTTTTTGTAGAAACGAAATTGTTTTTATAGTTTCAGTATTGATTTTAATTTGTTTTTTAAGAAGAAGTAGATGGTCGGATAAATTGTGTGAGTTATTATGAATTTTCAGTATAATAGTCAATTTAACCCCAGTCAACAGTAACATGGAACTTCGAACAAATTTGCGGTCCGCGAGACGAAAGACACCAATGGTTAGAGACCTTGAACAACATGGCTCAAAATCGTTTGCAATAGCGCAAGTGCATCCATTCGTTGTGCTCTCTCAAATCCTAATCTTCTGGATTCGTTAGCACCTCTACCTTTGTCTTTCTAACCTTATCTCACTGAATTATACTTCTTGAATAATATCTTCAAACCCTAATCTTCTTCATTACCATTAATACCTCTACTATCTTTATCACTATGGGATTTGATTTGACATTTGCTTCTGTGTGCTAATGTGGTATGGCAACATGAACTTATGTACATACATACGAAGTTCCACGTTGTGACTGACTGACTTCGTACGTACGTACATCAGTTCAAGTTGTCATCCCCCTCAGTAGTAATTGGAGATTCTAGACTTCAATGATATTATTCAAGTAGTAGAATCTAGGTGAAATAAACTTAATAGGAGAAAGATAAAGGTGATGAGAAATTTAGAAGATTAGGATTTGAGAGAATACAAAGAATGAATGCACCTGCGCCATTGCACACGGTTTTGAGCCATGTGATTCAAAATTTCTAATCATCGGTTACTATTATCATCTCGCGGATCCCAACCAAGTAGTCTACATCCACCTACATGACTGAAAATAGTTTTCAGTGACTTCATAGATTTGTGCCATGTTTTGGTTTGGCTACTCCTAGCTTTCTTCCAACCTAATTCTACATCGTAAAGTATAGCTCAACGAGGCAGTCAGTGGTTAGGCATAAGCAGCACATGTCTCAACCACTTCAACTACTGAAAAGTTTCAATACTTCATCTATTGGCCTGTCATCCTTACCGAGTACCCGTTTCCTAACAACAGCACTGCTTCCTCGGTTGTCTCACGATACACTAGCAATGCTTCGGAGACACCTACGATCGAAAACCAGTAACCTACGAATACCATGTTTCAAAGCCATAAAGTAGGTGTAGTAGATAGTTGGATAAATTGTTAGCGTTACAATGATTTTTTATTATAGAGATTAGGTTAAAGACAAAAGGTTGAACATAAATACATTGATACATTGACGGAGGTTATTGAAACTTTATGAAATTGTCGAACGAATATAAATACAACTCAAAGTTGATATTCGCTCCGAGGACTCGAACACTCGAGCCTTGAGACACTCACTGCCTAATGTGTTATTCATTGAGAACAATCAGAAGAACCTAAACATTAGAATGCAGGTTTTATTTAACCTCTTATCTTCATTTTCAAAATATATACATATATTTCTCGCATATGGTGGGACAACCGAGTACGCAATTTTAGGGTTAGGGTACTAGGTACGCTTAAAGCTATTACGAGTTCACCTTAGTCGATAAAACGCGAACGAGACAATTACCAGCGTCCAGATAGGCTACCTTGAAACCTAAGCGGAAGTAAGAAGGCTTTGTAAGCGTAGAAGGTATATTCTACAAACACCCAGCAATCACACATACAACTCTCGTTTATTTATACATCATAGAAACGTCCTTGGGACAGTAAAGAAAATAGCACACTAAAATGACACAGTAGCCAATCACAGCCATAGATTTTCCTGGTGGGAATTGAAATCTCAACGTCAACTGATCAGCCCATGCTTACTTACTTACTTACGCCTGTTACCCCCAATAGAGGAGCATAGGCAGCCCACCAGTTTTCTCCAACCAACTCTGTCCTCAGCTTCGCTTTCCAGTTCTGTCCAATGTTTGTTCATTCCTCTCATGTCTTTCTCTATTTCTTGGCGTAATGTGTTCCTTGGCCTTCCTCTTTTCCTTTTGCCTTGAGGGTTCCATGTGAGGGCTTGTCTCGTGACGCAGTTAGGTGCTTTTCGTAGTGTGTGTCCTATCCACTTCCAGCAGTGCTTCTTCCTGACTTCCTCCTCCACTGCAATCTGGTTTGTTCTCTCCCACAGTTCGTTGTTGCTGATGGTTTCTGACCAACGAATACGAAGTATTTTGCGTAGACAACTGTTAATAAACACTTGTATCTTCTGGATGATGGCTTTGGTAGTTCAGTTCTCCATGTTTCCGCTCCATACAGTAGAACTGTGTTGACATTTGTATTGAAAATCCTGATTTTGGTTTTGGTTGAAAGTTGTTTGGAGTTCCGGATATTTTTCAACTGTAGAAATGCAGCCCTTGCTTTGCCAATCCGTGCCCTCACATCTACATCGGACCCACCTTTCTCGTCGATGATGCTGCCGAGATATGTAAAGGTGTTAATGTCCTCCAAGGCATCTCCATCAAGAGTGATTTGGTTGTTGCATGTTGTGTTGCACCGGAGAATTTTGCTTTTTCCTTTATGTATGTTGAGACCTACTGCTGCAGAGGTTGCTGCTACACTGGTCTTCTTCTCTTGCATTTGTTGTTGCGTGTGCGATAGAAGAGCCAAGTCATCTGCGAAGTCCAGATCGTCCAGCTGCATCCTAACTGTCCAGTTGATACCGTGCTTCCCTCCAGATGTCGACGTCTTCATGATCCAGTCGATGACCAGGAGAAAGAGAAAGGGTGAGAGTAAACAACCTTGCCTCACACCGGTCTTCACCTCAAAAGAGTCTGTCAGCTGACCTCTGTGCACGATTTTGCGGTTGAATCCATCATGAGAATTCCGAATTATGTTAAGTATCTTCTCAGGCACACCGTAGTGTCGAAGAAGCCTCCACAGTGTTTTCCTATCCACGCTATCGAATGCTTTCTCGTAGTCGATGAAGTTGATGTAGAGTGGTGAGTTCCATTCAATTGATTTTGTTCCACAATGATCCGTAATGTAGCAATTTGGTCAGTACACAAATCGATCCTTACGAAATCCGGCCTGTTGATCTCGAAGTTGGGCGTCTACGAAGTCCTTCATTCTGTTTAACAATACTCTGTTGAAGACTTTGCCTGGTATTGAAAGAAGAGTGATGCCTCTGTAGTTCTCACACTTGCTGAGATCACCTTTCTTTGGTATTTTGATGAGGTATCCTTCTTTCCAATCTGATGGTACTTGTTCCTCATCCCAAATCTTCTTGAAGAGGATGTGAAATATTTTCGCAGTTGCTTCCACATCTGCATTCATTACCTCTGCTGGAATGTTGTCTGGTCCTGCTGATTTGCCATTCTTGATTTTTCCGATGGCCATGCTGATCTCCTCAATCGTAGGTGCGCCAATATTAATTGGGAGGTCCGTGGATGCTGCTTCGATGTTGGGTGTGTTCAGTGGTCGATTCAAGACTTCCTTAAAGTGCTCTACCCACCTATTTCGCTGTTCTCCCTATATATATATATATATATATATATATATATATATATATATATATATATAACATAATTATTTATACTGAATAAATTTCTCACAAACATTTTACTTACTTGACCTAATTTATCCGGAATAAATAAATAAGCACCACTATGTGAGTCGCCTGGTAAACTTCCATGTTGCATGAAATTGATTTTCATAATCATTGATCGTTTAGTGAATTTATCAAACATTTTCTATACAAGAAGAAGAAAAAGTGGAGAGAGAGATTAAATAACTTTTCATTCTATTGGTAAATGAACTGTTAAGTCTGCTGCTGCTACCTGACCTGACATGACTACAACAGCTAGAATTGCTGCTGTCATCGTTAGTTCAGTTACAAATCTCATATGTTTGAAACTACTATTACGAGTTCACCTTAGTCGGTAAACGGAACCATGAGCGATGACTCAATGACACGATAGGCTATTCTAATCCGATTTTCCCCGGTCCGGCTAACTAGATCAAGTAGTTTTGATAAGGCGTAGTAAGCATATTCTACAAGCACCCCGAGGAAATATAAGGTTGACAAACACACAAATCAAGCTTATTTATACAACATGATAGAAACGCCCTTGGTGAGTGTCACATAAAATAGCGTACTAAAATAAATACATCGACCAATGACGCTCAAGGATTTCGCGGGTGGCAAATGTAATCTCAAGGTCAACTGAGCAACCACCACCTGTGCGCGAAAATATAAAAAAAAGTCCAAAATTAGGACTTTTTCCAATAGTGAGTTCTGAGGATCTAAACGTCTCCAACAAAATCAACCAACAGGGAGAAAAAAAGCAGAACAAATATTTACACAAGGTAGTGTAAGTGTCGAAATGTGTACAATCCAAACGATGTGTATTTAATTTAGTTGTTGTGTAGACGACTACAAAAAACATCATTCAAACAACAATATCACACAATTGCACTGCCATCGCCGTTTGTGAGTATGTGGATAGTGTTCAGAGGCATTGTATTTTGGTTGTGATAAGGAGATGAAATCACATCGGTTTCTTAAGAAACCCACTGGAGTCTTCTATGAATCTTCAAAAGTTGTACGGTTCTTATTATTTTAACGCTATTAGAGAGAGACCTACAAATACTGGATAGGCCGTTTCGTCCTGGCATGGGGTTCATCAACATTGCGCAACGCAACTACGATTCCCACCACTCATAGGAGTTGAACTGAGGATTTTCGAACCTTTAGACCACTGAGCCAGCATCTAACGGTGTTAATGTCTAATTTTGATCAATCTACGGTTTTCGTGCAACCTCATCCACTGGCTTCATAGAGCATTGCTTTAAACCCGAAGAGCATTGAACTCCACTGGTCATAACTTCTCACTAGAAGTCGGAGAAACTTCCTCCCGGAGTTAGTCACTCACTAGTGAGCACATGTAGTTTGCATTAGGGAGCTTAATCATTCACATGGGAAACCGAAAGTGTAGAGTTTGAATCCTGCAAGTAACGCAAGTCGTGCATGGATGAACCATTCTGATAAGTTCTATTCCAGTACGAAATGGCTGTCTAGTGTTTATGGGGTTTCTAATGATGGTCTAACATTGATTGATTCATAATATCAAAATTTAATTGATTTCTAATGATATTTATTATTACGAGGAGTGACAATGATATCTCTTTCCAGTTAAACCATGTGGGACATGTGTTACAAGTGCTGAACCACCGACTGCCTCGACGAGCTAGGTTTTGTGGTGTAGGAGTAGGTTGGAAGAAAGTTAGGGGCGGCCAGACCAAAACATGGCAGAAATCCATGAAGTCACTGACAAGTGTATTGAGTCATGTTGGTAGATGTAGACTACCTGATTGGGGTCCGCGATACGAAAGTCACCAATGGTTAGAGACCTTGAGCGATATGGCTCGAAATCGTTTGGAATGGCGCAAGTGCATCCATTCATTGTGCTCTCTCAAATCCTATTCTTCTCGATTCGTCAACACCTTTGTCTTTCTAACCTTATCTCACTGAATTATACTTCTTGAATAACATCTTCGAACCATAGTCTTCTTCATTACCATTAATAGCTCTACTATCTTTATCGCTATGAGATTTGAATTGACAATTATATCTCTGTGCTACTGTGATATGGCAACATGAACTTATGTACGTACGTACGAAGTTCTACGTTGCAACTGACTGACTGACTGACTGAAACCATCTATCTTAGATAATCAAACGGAATCAAATATAATATACTACAGCAGGCAATTTGTTTAAACATTCATCTTACTCATAGTAAATGAGCAAATTTCTTCATTATAATAACAACATATAAATATGTGAATAAGGAACAGATCACTTGTAAAGCGAGTGCTAGGCCGCTTAAACTAGATTAGTGAATATAGAGGATCCATTGTAGGGGAGTTGCAGAATCCACATTCGAGGATTCTGATGGAACCTATGATTGGTCACTAACTATCATGTTCATTTTGGGCGCCTAGACAACAGTATCTCAACCCGTACTCATGCACACATACACACACGCACATTAAACGATGGTGTGTAGCACATAAAAATTTAGAACACATACTAAAAAAAATCATTCAACATGAGAGTTTTTCCTTTACGGGGGTTGTGAAGATTGTCAAGTTATTCATTGACATCATTAATCAATCAATCAATCATTGTTAGACCATCACTATTTATACAACCTGGAATAAATGGACGACCGTTTCGTCCTGGTGTATAGGACTGACTACTCATCAATGGCAGTGCGCATCCACCACTGACAGGATTCGAGCCCAGGACTATCGGACTTGCGCGCGAACACCTAACCTCTGGACCACCACTGACTGAGCCAGTATTTAACAGTGTCTAACTTCGATCAATTCACTGTTTTTAAGCGCAACATTGATACATTGTTTTCGGTAGTTACTGTCTACACCCGAACAACTCACCTACATATATATAAGAACAAGTAAAGATGAACTATGAACGGTATAGACTTACTTGTAGATAACCAGTTTTAGCATCGAATTCCAATTGAATATAATCATTTTCTATGAAAAAGTTTGTTTCACTTCAATGCAGGAAAATGAAAAAAAAACAGAAGTACAACTAATGTTGATGTATTCATTGAAAATAAAAAAGTATATATTATTGTTATGCTTGAAACTATCTGGTACGAGTTCACTTTACTCGCTGAAACGGAATGAAGCATCAGACAGACAGACAGACAGATATAACGCAGAACTTCGTACATAAGCACATCAGTTCAGGTTGCCATACCATGTCAGCACAGAGACGCGACTGTCAGTTAAAAATCCAAGAGTGATAGCGATAGTGGAAGTACTAGCAGTAATGGAGAAGATTAGGGAGTGAAGATATGATTCGAAAAGTATAATTCAGTGAGATAAATTTAGACAGAGGAACATGGATGTGATGAGAAATTCAGAAGGTTGGAATTTCATAGAATACAAAGAGTGGATGCAACTGCGCCATTGCGAACGATTCTGAACCATGTCGTTCAAGGTCTCTAACCAGCAGTGACTATCGTCTTGCGGACCCCAACCACATAGCCTACATCTACCAACATGAATCAGTCTACTTGTCAGTGACTTCATGGATTTCTGCCATGTTTTGGTTTGGCCATCCGTAGCATTTTTCCAACCTACTCCTACACTGCAAAGCATAGCTCGTCGCGGCAGTCGGTGGTTAGGCATCCGTAACACATGTCCCAACTACCTCAACTGATGAAGTTTCATTACTTCATCTATTGATTTGCCATCCCTACCTAGAACTCGTTTCCTAACGACAGTATTGCTTATACGGTTGTCCCATGATACACAAGCAATGCTTCGGAGACATTGATGATCGAATACTAGTAACCTACGAACATCATCTACTCTTAACGGCCAAATCTCGCATCCGTACAGTAGGACAGGTCAAACTGCTGCACAGTACACTCGTCCTTTGGTTAGCAAACGGATATCTCGCCTGCGCCATAGGTGACGCAGGTGACGCTGAGATTTCGTCAGTCACCAGGCCATCAGCACTGATGAAACTCTGAAGATAAGTGAAGCGGTATACACGTTCGACTAATTCACTCCCTATCACTAGTTCAGGTGCCGATGTAACCCAATCTTGAAGCAACATTTTGCATTTCGATGGAGAAAGCCGCATCCTGAACATGCTTGCGGTGTTGCTTAGGGTAGTCAGAATACTCTGCATTTTGTCAGCGTCTTCACCAAGTAGGACTATGTCATCGGCATATTCTAAGTCGACAAGCCAGCCCCCTGGTGAAAAAGGTCTACTCCTGAAAATTCAGACGAGGATAAGGTTATTTCTAAGAGCATGTCTATGATAAAATTAAACAAGAATGGAGAGAGAGTGGACATCCTCATCACCTTTATCTTTTTAATTGATTTCACTGGTTTATTACTCGCTGAATAATAATATCTTCAATCCTTAATCTTCTTCTTCTCAATTATCGTTAATACTTCTACTACTACTGTAGTGAATGAGAACACAGGTGGGGCAACCGAATTGTATTTAACGAAAATTACAGAGTTATTCAGTAAAATAGGGAAACCATATCGTAAATTGTTCATTTGCAAAAGATCAGTTCATCCTATGGAACTGGACTGTTCCTGTTGCAAAACATCAATCCATTGTCACTATTCATGCGTTTCATACACGAATTCCATTGTGTTCTTCTAACTCTTCCTTTCTCTTGATCTTCCCCCATCTTCTGCTGACACCAGACATTACGTTGACACTCACGTCATATACTACTTATAAGTAGTTCGCACCACACTACTACTACTACCTCTACTACCACTATAGGATTGGAACGGACGATGCTAATGCAGTATGACAACCTGAATTGACCTATATACATACGAAGTTATACGTTGTTCATTGATTTGTAACAACACAACAACAACAACAATAAATAATAAAAAACAAACAAACAAACTCACTCATTCTGTAGTGACATGCCTTGATCATTTATAAGTGGTATAAATTGTGGTTCCACTTGTACAACATTAGATGATAATGTTGTCGCTATGGATACTGCTGGTGGTGGCTTCGATGTTAATGTCAATTCCAAACATGTAAACGATAATGGATTCAATTGAATTGGACTTAAATGTAACATGCTAAATAATTGATTTGTGGTTTGATGTTGTTGTGGTTGTTGCTGTTGATATACATTGTTATTATTAGGTGTTGTTGTTGTATAACTATGCTGTAATTGTATATTAATTGGATGAGTTATTGTATTGGAAATTAATTGTTTTGCTTGAAAATGTTCCCAATGACCTTTAACATATAATGTGATAATTTTTGACTGTTTACGAGTGGATGGATTAAAAATGTATATACGACTGTAAGAATAGAGAGAAAAAGACAAGAGTAATTTATTGATGAATAGTATATATATTAGTCTGGACATAATGATAGTGGAAAGTTGTATAAAACGCCAACTGATGAAGTGGTTGGGACAAGTGTTACGTATGCTTAACCACCGACTACGGAGACGAGCTATGTTTTGTAGTGTAGGAGTAGGTTGGAAGAAAGTTTGGAGATGGTCAGACCAAAACATGGCAGAAATCCATGAAGTCATTGACAAGTGGACTTAGCCATGTCGCTAATTGTCGACTACCTGGTTGGGGTCCGCTAGACGAAAGTCATCAATGGTGAGTGACCTTGAATGACATGGCTCAGAATCGTTTGCAATAGCGCACGTGCATCCACTCTTTGTGTACTTTTTAATTCTAATCTTCTGAATTCCTCATAATCTATATCTTTCTCATTCTAAATTTATCTCACTGAATTATATCATATCTTCGCTCCCTAATCTTCTCCATTACTGCTAATACTTCTATTATTGCTATCACTCTTGTATTTGAACTGACAGTTACGTCTTTGTGCTGATGTGATAATGGCAACCTGAACTAATGTACTTATGTACGAAGTTCTGCGTTGTATCTGTCAGGTGTATAAGTTTGTGGAGAATGAAATCATGAACTGTAACAATGTTTAATCAATGCTGATGATGAGTCCTATACTCGGGGACAAAACAGTCGTTCAGTGTTTTTTTTTAAAGTTTCCAATGGGTAGTGGTCTAACACTGATCAATTCATAAATGTCAATCAAACTCAACAATCTTCATAACCTTATAATGACAATTATCATGTGCTCACTAGCCTAGTAGGAAATTTCTCTAGTTCTAGTGAGAAGCTATGAGCAACGGAGTTCAACGAGACTACACAATATCATCGCTAGAAGTTAGTACCATTGGATACTGGCTCAGTGGTCTAGAATGCTAAGTGTTTCGATGCGACAACGAAGATCCTACGGAGCAGGGTTTGGATGTGCACTCCTGATGAGTTTTATACTGGGACAAAACAACCATCCAGTAATTCTATGTTCCCAATGGGTAGTCTAACATTGATCGATTTATGATTTCAGCGAAATAATGCCTTCAAAATGCTAGTTCATGGATTTCATTCTCACTCCGTTGGTCATACATTGTGTAAATATTACATAGCCGTTTACTACTTAGTTTTCTAATCTGGTGTAAGCTTTCTTATTAAGTTGGTATGATCAGATAATCATTTGAAATTTCCTTTTTTGTATGGAAAGAGTTTATAATAAGCTGTACTCAACTGGTACGATCTGTTTGTTTAGGATGAAAAAAAACAACACATTTTATTATAATCATGATCTACTCTACCTGTAATTTACACGTTCAATCGATTTGGTGCATGTCTGTATCCTCCAAAAACCTTATCAATCAACTTCTGATTGGTTGTAAACATAAACAATCAATAAATTTACAGACTGTATTGATGAATTAGCACTCTCATTAGAAGCACTTATACAAATACATGGTCTTACGTGTTTACTCATTCACTTTCTCGTACGCTTGCCTATTGTATGGTTTATGGATTCTACTCATTTCTTCAAACCCTATTCTTCTCCATTACCGCTAATATTTCTACTATCCCCGCTAGTATGGGATTTGAATTGACAATTGCGTCTCTGTGTGCTAATTTGGTAAGGCAACCTCAACTGATCTACTCATGGATGAAGTTCTACTTTGTAAGTGATTGACTGACACAATGGATTCTACTAATAATGATCATTATCAATATACACTATTCCAACAACAAGTGTTTTGGTTCTTTCAATCATCTCAAATAAATTCATAGTGATACTAAGAGAATTGGTCTGTTAAATTAGACTACTAACTGAACAACATTAGGAAAGATGTGACCTCTACAAGTTTGTTTTTCTGTATGAATTGCTAACAGATAAATTAAAACGAATAAATATCATTACAGGGGTTGTGAAGATTGGTAAGTGACACATTTTTTCTGAAACCATGAATCGATCAATGTTAGACCACCATTAGAAACCTGGAAGCACTGGACGGCCGTTTTGTCCTGGTATGGGACTCCTCAGCACAATACCGAAGGTCCTGGGTTCGAATCCTGCGGGGTGCAGGAGTCGTGGATGCGCACTGCTGATGAGTCCCATACCAGGACGAAACGGCCGTCCAGTGCTTCCAGGTTTCCAATGGTGTTGGTCTAACATTGATCGATTCATGGTTTCGAAAATGAATAAATATCAACGAATTTAAAAATAATCAACCAATCAACCAATCAAACTAACTAACTAACTAACTAACTAACTAACTAACTAACTAACTAACTAACTAACTAACTAACTAACTAACTAACTAACTAACTAACTAACTAACTAACTAACTAACTAACTAACTAACTAACTAACTAACTAACTAACTAACTAACTAACTAACTAACTAACTAACTAACTAACTAACTAACTAACTAACTAACTAACTAACTAACTAACTAACTAACTAACTAACTAACTAACTAACTAACTAACTAACTAACTAACTAACTAACTAACTAACTAACTAACTAACTAACTAACTAACTAACTAACTAACTAACTAACTAACTAACTAACTAACTAACTAACTAACTAACTAACTAACTAACTAACTAACTAACTAACTAACTAACTAACTAACTAACTAACTAACTAACTAACTAACTAACTAACTAACTAACTAACTAACTAACTAACTAACTAACTAACTAACTAACTAACTAACTAACTAACTAACTAACTAACTAACTAACTAACTAACTAACTAACTAACTAACTAACTAACTAACTAACTAACTAACTAACTAACTAACTAACTAACTAACTAACTAACTAACTAACTAACTAACTAACTAACTAACTAACTAACTAACTAACTAACTAACTAACTAACTAACTAACTAACTAACTAACTAACTAACTAACTAACTAACTAACTAACTAACTAACTAACTAACTAACTAACTAACTAACTAACTAACTAACTAACTAACTAACTAACTAACTAACTAACTAACTAACTAACTAACTAACTAACTAACTAACTAACTAACTAACTAACTAACTAACTAACTAACTAACTAACTAACTAACTAACTAACTAACTAACTAACTAACTAACTAACTAACTAACTAACTAACTAACTAACTAACTAACTAACTAACTAACTAACTAACTAACTAACTAACTAACTAACTAACTAACTAACTAACTAACTAACTAACTAACTAACTAACTAACTAACTAACTAACTAACTAACTAACTAACTAACTAACTAACTAACTAACTAACTAACTAACTAACTAACTAACTAACTAACTAACTAACTAACTAACTAACTAACTAACTAACTAACTAACTAACTAACTAACTAACTAACTAACTAACTAACTAACTAACTAACTAACTAACTAACTAACTAACTAACTAACTAACTAACTAACTAACTAACTAACTAACTAACTAACTAACTAACTAACTAACTAACTAACTAACTAACTAACTAACTAACTAACTAACTAACTAACTAACTAACTAACTAACTAACTAACTAACTAACTAACTAACTAACTAACTAACTAACTAACTAACTAACTAACTAACTAACTAACTAACTAACTAACTAACTAACTAACTAACTAACTAACTAACTGACTGACTAAACTGACTAACTAACCGTGTATTTTCAACATCCGATTCCTTATTCATATTATTCTCAAAGAAATCAATTAGAATTGGTTCAGAATATTGATAATTGTGTAAATTATCTTCCAGAGATGAGAAACTATATGGTGCATTGCCATTGATGCTTCTTCCCTCATATTGATCATTTAATTGGGTTAATATTTCTTTCAATTCACTCGACACAGGTAATCGTCGTCGATTTGATAAATCTGTATCAAATTTTGACATACTTGGAAATAATAATAAATAAGCACTAGAAATTGTAATAACTTTTCTAGCTGCATCAACAGCCTTTAATAGTCTGTGAAGAATATATGAAAAAACAGAGAGAGAATACATGATATATATATTCAAAAGGCAAATAAAACAGACAAAATGTTTGTATAAAAGTAATTTATATTAAAGGAGATGATTGGAATCTGCAATTTCACGCCAAAAACTGTCTATAGTTGAAAAAACGTTCGAAATCAAGAAGCATCGAAGAGCCAACTTCGTATGGAGTCCATCTGGGGCTACTGTCGGTCCTAAGACCGGATAAAAGAGGAGGATTGGGCATGGGATTAGCGACGCCATCCCACAAAATAACCAAGTCGCTAAAAAAAGACGCTAACCAGAAAACATAATTCAAGTAACAATTGAGTAGCTGTTTCATCCAAGTATAGGCATTCACAAACTCAGAGCTAACAGATTATATGGAAGGAGTGAAGTAATGCAAACTGCTATACTGTTCGGCATCCGATTACGCAATCTTCTTATATATAGACCAGGCAAATCAGTTACCGATTATGTGCACTTACTATATTTAGTCGACTTGTAATTGCCTCAGAATATTATATCATTATTGTTCTAGGTCTCTATTCTTCGGGGACTCCAACCTGGTAGTCTACACCTACCACCAACATGACTCAGTCCATGTGTCAGTGACTTCATAGATGCGTGTCGTGTTTCGGTTTGAACGCTTCTAGCCTTCCTCTAACCTACTCCTACACACACTCCTAAACATAGCTCGTAACACATGTCCTAACCACATGGACTTTATCCATTACTTTGCTATCCCTACCTAGAACTTGTTTCCTAACAACAGCATTGTTTACTCAGTTATCCCAAGATACACGATCAATGCTTCGGAGACATCTATGATCGAATACTAATAACCTACGAATATCCTCAACTCTTGTCGGTCATGTTTCGCATTTACGTAGTAAGACGGAGCGAACTACTGTGCAGTAAGTACACTCGTCCTTTAGTCAGCAAACGGATATCTCGCCTACGACATAACTGACGCAGGTTGACAAAAGCTAATCGAGCCTTCTGCATCCATGCTGATATTTCATCAGTCACCAGGTCATCAGCACTGATGCGATAAAGTTATTCATCATGCTGTTGTTCTCGTAGAAAACAGACTAAACTATAGTAGCAACGAATCGTAGATAGGTAGTACAATTTTATTATTTTATTGACTATATATCTATCATAAGTAATCATTTCAATAAGGTCAAAGTTACATTTTCAATAGTTAAGAACAGGGGTTTAGGTCAACACCAACAAAAAAGGAATGAGTCATTGACGACGTTGCATATACTCATTCGGTTACAGAGTAGTATTACGTGTTTTATTTATTCAATGCATTGGTGTTGACGACATATATTGGTTTCATAATTTGAAGATACAAATTTACTGACTCGTCGTGTAATAACAAGAATATATAGACAGGAAAAAACACTAGATGTACTACCGCGTCAGTGTTGTAGATCATTTGAAACGATTTTTTGATTAGGCAACAAAAAAAACCAATTTAAGTATCAAGAAAAGACAACAAATGAAGACTAACAGCTCCTTTGGATAGGTTAGGTCCTGAGTTCGAATCCTGCGAGTAGCAGCAGTCGTGGATGCGCACTACCTCTGATGAGTCCCATACTAGGACGAAACGGCCGTCTTTCAGTGCTACCAAGTTTCTAAGGGTGGTTGTCTAACAACAATGATCAATTCATGATTTCAATGTTAGACATTAGCACCGTTGGATACCAGCCGAGTGGTCCGATGGTTAGACGTTCGCGCATAATACCGAAGGTCCTGGGTTCGAATCCTGTGCGAGGTGCAGGAGTCGTGGATGCACACTGCCACTGATGAGTCCCATGCACCAGGACGAAACGGCCGTCTTTCAGTGCTACCAAGTTTCTAAGGGTGATCGTCTAACAATGAATAATTAATTGATGATTTCAAATGTGTAAAAACACTAATCACCACAACTGTAATTGAAAAAAATCTTACAATATGCTCACTAGTGAGAATCGTGAGTTTCGCGAGGAAATTCTCGGAGTTCTAATGAGAAGACGTGACCAGTGGAGTTCAAACCTGTCGTATGTAGGCAGTAATTACCGAAGAGAAATAGGTGAGGTCACACAAAATCCCTTGCTTGATCACAGTTCAACATTAACCCCGATGGATACCGCTGGCCCAGTGGTCCAGAAGTAGAAGGGTTCGGATCCTGCGAGTAGCAGATATCGCGGATGCGTACTGCCACAGATGAGTCCCACTTATACCACCAGCACGAGACGGCCGTCCCGTGCCTTAAGGTTTCTAATAGTAACGATAATAATAATAATAATAATAATAATAATAATAATAATAATGTTATGTGTATAAGAGTAACAATCATAAAGCCGACATCTTACTTTTCTGAATAGTCAAGCATTACTTCCGGTCGTGCTGTACCAGTTATTGCATCATGATGTTGAAATAAACCAAGATTACGTCGAACTGTTGTAAGATTTTGATAAAGATTTATAAATAATGGTAATAATTGTGTAACACTTTGTATACGACCAATACTTTGTCTAGCATAACTATACAGTATTTCAGCTGTTCTATAAATATATATATATATATATATATATATATATAAATTAGAATAAATCAAGAGGAGAGAAGAAAAGATATATGAGAATGTGAATAATGGAGAGAAAAATATTTCAGGTCAACTCTGCTCTCATAACCAATAGTTTATTAAAATATCATTTTGTAAGTGTTACGCCTTCACGTGTAAACATGTCAACTTGATAATATACTAGAACTATTACGAGTTTACCTAGTGGGAAACGCCGGAGCGAGGATCCGGTGACATGACAGGCTACTGTAATCCAATTGTCCCAACCCCCATATTTAGTAAAATTAAGAAGACTTGATATTAATTAGAACTTGTATTCTACAAGCATCCAGAAAGTACGAGGTCCGAATCCAGAAGAGAATCAGGATCCCGGACTAGGGAGACGGGACCGAGCCTTGGTCCTGGTCAATAAAGTAAGCAGATAATTATGTCAACCATTGAATGAATATATGATCAGTGGTGAATTACTTTAACTGGTTAGATTTGTTAGAACGCTCAAAGTCAGAAGGAAAAAAAAGGGAGGCCAAGTGGAATACTTTTTACATTGAGTAATGAAGAATGAACATGAGAAGAATGAACACAAATTGGACAGAATTGGAAAGGGAAGCCTAGGATAGAGTAGGTTGGAGAATATTGGTCGGTGGCCTAAGCTCCATTTGAGGGTAACAGTAAGTACACAAGTAAGTAAGTAAGAGATTACCACTAACATTTGAACTGTCGCCCAAAAATTTCCAGCAACTTATCACAGTGATTAAGTGGATCTCAATCAGATGGTTTGCATTTACCAACATGGTTCACATGATTAACAGTCGGATGATCGTATGGACTGATGTGTGACGTTTCAGTTTGGCCAAAACCTAGCATTTGTCTAATCTATTCCTTACGTTAAACAGTCATGATGAAGAACCTAGTACGTAGGCATATCGGTTCAAGATGTCATAATTCCAATAACACGGAGAGATGCAACACTGTCAGGCTAAATCTGAAAGTGTGAATTAATCACATAATTAGTAAAATTGTTGTCTGCAAAAGAATTCAATGTTATGAGAGATAGGGTATCGTTTAAGCTAACTAACCAACTAACTAACTAATTATTTACTTCTGCTAAACTTATTATTATTCAATACTCAATATATTGAAATCATGAGTGTCGGCAATGAAGACAGTGGGTGAGGGATCACACAAAATCCTTCGATTGATCAAAGTTAGACATTAACAATGTTGGATGCCGACTCGGTGGTCTAGAGGTTAAGTGTTAACGCGTGAGACAGAACGTCTTGGGTTAGAATTTTGCGATTAACAGAAATCGTAAATGCACACTGCCACTGATAAGTCCCATACCAGGACGAAACGGCTGTCCGATGATTTTATATTTCTAATGGTGGTCTAACAATGATTCGATTCATCATTTCAACTTCGATTTCCAGGATTTCAGCTTCGTATACGTGAACACCACGACAATTCTTCGCTCATATTAATACATACGGATAATTATGGACATACATTCAATTGAAACGATATGGAAATACTGAATAGAGAGAGAACACAAAGAACACTAAGGAATGTTTAGAATATTAGCACTCAGGTCAATCAGCAATCAACAAACACATCAACATTGTTCCAGTTTATCAACCAATCAGAAACAGATCAAAAGGGGGAGGGGATACAATCAAAACAAAGGTGCAAACAATGACAGGTTTTTAAGTCAACAACAACAACAACAACCAATCAACATGGAGGTTAACAGAACAAGCTATAGGTTAAACGTGAAGAAATTCACATACTTTGTTACGCATTCGAAACCTTACTCTATCAACTGCTAATGTGGTGCGAGCTACTTATAAGTAGTATATGACGTGAGTGTCAACGTAATGTCTGGCAGCCGGAGATGAGGGAATATCAAGAAAGGAAGAGTTAGAACACGATGGAATTTGTATGAAATAGCATGAATAGTGACAATGGATTGTTGATGTTTTGCAACAGGAACAGTCCTCCAGTTCGATATGATGAACTGATATTTTGCAAATGAACGATATGGTTTTTTGCTATTTTACTGAGTACCTCTGTAATTTTCGTTAAATACAATTCGGTTGCCCTCACCTGTGTTCTCGTTCACTACACTAGTTTTATGTATCAATACCTCTTGACCTCACACTGTCTATCTATTCCTCTATTGCTTATTGAATCGGCGGCTCATCTTCTTTCTTCCACTTCTTCCTCCAGATAATCTCATAGGCTGCTGCTCTCTCTCACACACACAGACACACACCCCAGCACATGAGGTACCTCTCCAGGCTACAAAAACGCAAACCAAAAGTTCCGTAACCAAAAACAACAAAATCTACATCACTCTATAATTAAAATTTATCATCTACCTTAATTCTGATTCTAACAGACGTGATAAAAATTTCCCATAAGGACGTGAATTATAATATCCACTCCAATAATCATGTTGTCGATCAGCATAAGTTACAAAATCACCAGTCAACGATGGAAATAATGTAGATAGTGTTGAATTCATTTTATTAACTCGTTCAATTAATGCATGAAAATAATCTGACAATGTAGAGAAACGTATCTAAAATAATAATAAAAAGAAATAGAAAATGCAATGACACAATTATTAATATAAAAAATAGGAAATATAACAATGAACACATATAGGTAACTAGCTAGCAGTTGTGTAAGGCAATTAATTCTACTGTGAAGGTGTGAATAGTAGAGTTTAACTGTGTTGAGTACGAGACAGTTAGTTACATAGTATCCTGGATTGATTTAAGTTCGATCATTAACACATTTGGATGCGAACATGAGGAATTAGAGGTGAGGAGTTCGTGTACGAAACCAAAAGAAGATCCTGGGTTCGATTCGTGGCCTTATGGTGTAAGAGAGATTATATCTACCAGTTAACCAAAGGAAGAATCTACTGAGCAATTAGTTCGCTCCTTTTTACTATATAAGTGTGAAATATGACCGCTAAGAGTAGAGGATATTTGTGGGTTACTGGTTTTCGATCATAAGTGCATTTGAAGGTATTGCTTGTATATCCCGCGACAATCGAGTAAGTAATACTGTGTCATTAGGAAACGGGGACTAGGTAAGGATGACATATCAATACATGAAGTATTCAAAAACTTCATCAGTTGAGGTAGTTTGAACATTTGTTATATATACCCAACCACCGACTACCTCGACGAGTAGGGGTAGGTTAGAAGAAAGCTAGGGCGGCCAAACAAAAACATGGCACAAATCGATGAAGTCACTGACAAGTGGACTTAGTTATGTTGGTAGATGTAGACTATGTGATTGAGGTCCGCTAGATAATAGTAGCCTATGGTTACTAACATTGAACGATATGGCTCAAAATCGTTTGAAACGGCGCAAGCGCATCCACTCTTTGTGTTCTCTCAAGTTCTATTCTTTTGAATTCTTCATGACCGTTTTTCACGTTTTAATTTTACACGGCTGCATTATATTTGCCCGATTATATCTTCGAACCGTAGTCTTCTTTATTACCACTAATACTTCTACTGCCTCTACTACTATCGGATTCGAATTGCCAATTTGATCTCTTTGTGTTCATGTGGTATGGCAACCTGAACACTGATGTACGTACGAAACCAGTTTTACGTTGTAGCTGACTGACTGAATGATAGTTCCTGCCAATAGGATAGTGGAGGCTCAATGCTGATGAGTTTCACACTAGGACGAAGTCTCGATCCAGTACTTTCTGGTTTTTACTGAAAGTCTATAATATTGATCGATTTATGATTTCAATTGAAATTGTCACAGTATCATCATCAAATGTTGATGAGTGAGTGAGTGATACGTGTGACCATATGATAGAGTCGTGTTTCAATTTCTACGGACAATATCACACACAACAACGGTAAAAGATGTGATAATCTTATTGATGCTTAAATATTTATGCTACAAACAAATCAATAAATTTGAGTATCAACTAGAATACTGTCAGGATGCCACTAAATCGGATGAAGACGTGAAGACCGGATGGAATAGTGGTGTATGTATAGAGCAGACACATGTATATCTTATCTTTAAAAGTCCCTTTGTAAAACAAGAAGATTATTGATTGCGTCATTCAATCGCATCCGAATACTCTTCTATCCAGTAGTGGCTATTAGGCGACATTCTACAGTATACTACTTAAAACCTACATTGTCAGTAGTATCCAGTATACTGTTAGGGACGTTAAATCCTCAGAACTCACATAGAAAAGGTCCTAATATTGGATTTTTCGATTCGCACATTGGCTGATCAGTTGACCTTGAGATCAAATTTCCCACTCGGAAAATTCTTGACAATCATTGGTTGATGTATTATTTTAGTACAGTATTTTGGTGACTCTCACCAAGGACGTTTCTATCATATGAACCTCAATTTTCTGCGTTCTTGTAGAATACATTTTCTACACCATACTAAGACGACGTCGTGATGAAGTGGTGAAACTTCATCAGTTTAGGCGGTTACGACATGTGTTACATATACCCTAACCACCGAATGCCTCAACGAGCTATGTTTTGTGGTGTAGGATTAGGTTGGAAGAAAGCTAGGTGCGGCCAGACCAAAACTTGGCAGACGTCCATGAAGTCACTGACAAGTGGATTGAATCATGTTGGTAGATGTAGGCTACGTGGTTGGGGTCCGTGAGATGATAATAATCGATGGTTGGAGACATTGAATGACATGGCTCAAAATCGTTTGCAATGGCACAAGTGCATCCATTCATTGTGCTCTCTCAAATCCTAATCTTCTCGATTCGTCAACACTTCTGCCTTTGTCTTTCTAACTTTATCTCAGTGAATTATACTTCTTGAATAATATCTTCAAACCCTAGTCTTCTTCATTACCATTAATACCTCTACTATCTTTATCACTATGGGATTTGATTTGACATTTGCGTCTCTGTGCTAATGTGTGTGGTTTGGCAACATGAACTTATGTACATACATACGAAGTTCTATGTTGCAACTGACTGACTGACTGACTTTATGCATAAACTTGGTTTTTGTGCTTATAGAATACACTTTCTACGTCTTTTCAAGACTTCTTCTTCTACTTAGTGGGAGGAGGGGCATTGGGATGCTCCGATTAGAGTAGTCTATCGTGTTACTACTGGATCATCATTTGTCTTTTCTCTCTCGTTTATCAATTCTAAGGTGAACTCGTAATAGCATTCTAGCATATTCTCATCCGAATACTGTTCTATCGAGTAGTAAGTAACTTTTAGGTGACACTTTGTTATATACTACTTAAAATTCACATTGTCAGTAGTATCCAGCATACTATGGTATATATACACATAAATATATAATATAAAACGTAGAGTTCATTGGGAAGCAAGGGGAGGGGGGGGGCGGGAAGGAAAAACTTACTTTCATTCTATAATCCGTATTTGAATTAATATATTGAATTAATTTATTATAATTATTCAATTGGACATTCCATTCATGTACTGATTGATAACGAAAATCATCACCTAATGGGATTAATACTAAGCCATGATTATTATATAATGTCGCTTTTTTCCTATATTGATCAGCTAACATATTAGCTCTGTAGAATTGAAAAAGAAAAAATAAGAAAAAGACATTGTAAAGAGATCAATAGAGAATTTGAATGTCGTCTATAGAGGAGCAATGGTCAAGGTAGCCTGTAGAGTGTAGACCACTTCATTTATCTGAGGGAGTCTTATCAGTACTGATGGTATGGTGACTCATTCACCAGGTAGCTCGCTTATTGACTTAGAATATGCGAATGACATAGTTAGTCCTACTTGGTGAAGATGCTGACAAAGTGCAGAGTCTTCTTGACTACCCTAAGCAACAATGCAAGCGCATGTTCGGGATGCGGTTTTCCCCCTCGAAATGCAAAATGTTGTGCTTCATGATTGGGTTTCATCGGCACCTTGAACTAGTGATAGGGAGTGAAGTAGTCGAGTGTGTGAACCACTTCACTTACCTGGGGAGTCTCAGTAGTGTTGATGGTCTGGTGACTGACGAAATCTCAGCACGGATACAGAAGACTCGATTGGCCTTTGACAACCTGCGTCACTTATGGCGTAGACGAGATATACGTTTGCTGAATAAACGACGAGTGTACTGTGCAGCAGTTCGCTTCGTCTTACTTTATGGCTGAGAAACATGGCCAGTAAGAGTAGAAGATATTCATAGGTTATTGGTTTTCCATCATAGGAGTCTTCGAAGCATTGCTCGTATATTCTGGGACATCCAAGTGAGCAACGCTGTTATTAGGAATCGGGTGCTAGGTAAGAATGGCAAATCAGTATATGAAGTAGTGAAACTTCATCAGTTGAGGTGGATGGGACATGTGTTACGTATGCCTAACCACCGACTGCCTCGTCGAGCTATGATTCGCGATGTAGGAATAGGTTGGAAGAAAGCTAGGTGTGGCCAAACCAAAACATGGCACAAATCAATGAAGTCACTGACAACTGGACTCTCAACCAGGTTGGGAGGTGTAGACTATCTTGGTTAGGGCCCGCGAGAAATTAGTAATCGATGGTTAGAAGAACCTTGAATGACATGGCTCAAAGTCGTTTGCAGTAGGGCAGATGTATCCATTGTTTGTCTCCCCTCTTTCCTCATGACCGTTCCTTTTACTTTTTTTTAATTTTTAAATTAATTCATCTGGAATATGCTTCTTGAATATCTTCAATCCCTAATCTTTTTGATTACAGCTAATACTTCTACAACCTCTACTACTATGAGATTAGAATTGACAATTTAATCTCTGTGTGCTAATGTGGTATGACAACTTGATCTGGTCCATTTATGTACGATGTTCTACGTTGTATCTGACAGACTGACTGATTGACTGACACATCAGACATTTGGAATCCACTGATCACAGCTTTTAACGAGAACTCTGTACGTTACTTCTTAAAATTCTACAGTAGTGAGTGTGTGAGAAAAGTGAAGTAGTTGATATCAACATAATATTTCTAAAATTAAGCTTTCACAATGAGATTTGAAGTTATTAAATCTAATCATTTGTGTTGTCATCAGTGTTTACAACTAACAAATCATAGACTAGAATGGAATAGCTATGTACTTAATTTTTCCTGACTTATTCAAGAAAACCCATCGCCATAAACCGCCCTACAGTAATTGGCAAGTGCTATTTAATCTTTTCTTCAACACATGTACCTACTATGTACCATTTGTGTAATGCGATCTGGCCTTCTTGGTATGTAAATCTATCAGAGACTGACTGGTTGATGATTTTTGAACAACGAGGAATATAGCTTCTGACTTCAGATCATACTGGTTAATGGTCAAAAGACATTACATTACAGAAACATGAACTAACCGAACAGCAACATTTGAATCATCTATAATAACTGGTGGTTTACGCCATGGACAATTGTATTTCTCGGTGCGAATAAAATCAAATTGACAACATATAGCAGGCTCTGGGCCACATGTATGTGGAATATCATATGAAAAGAATGGGAACATATGTGCTAATATGGGATGAGAACCAGCACTATCTGTAACAAAAATAATGAATCATTATTTTTTTCTTTGGTATGAAAAAAAAAATCACATGATAAAATATAGTGAAGAATTGTTACACTTAATTTGTGAATAGCCGTCAATCAATCAATCAATCAATAGCAACGTAGAACTTCGTACTTACTTACTTACTTACTTACGCCTGTTATCCCCAATGGACCAAAGGCCGCCCACAAGTTTTCTCCTCCAACCAACTCTGTCCTGGGCTTTCTTCTCCAGTTCTGTCCAATGTTTGTTCATTCCTCTCATATCTTTCTCTATTTCTTTGTCCTTCCTCTTTTCCTTTTGCCTTGAACGTTCCATGTGAGGGCTTGTTTCGTGACGCAGTTAGGTGCTTTTCGTAGTGTGTCCTATCCACTTCCAACGCTTCTTTCTGATTTTCAACTCCGCTGGAATCTGGTTTGTTCTGTGTCACAGTACGTTGTTACTAATGGTGTCTGACCAACGAATACGAAATATTTTGCGTAGACAACTGTTAATAAACACTTGTATCTTCTGGATGATGGCTTTGGTAGTTCTCCAGGTTTCCGCTCCATACAGTAGAACTGTCTTGACATTAGTATTGAAAATCCTGATTTTGGTTTTGGTTGATAGTTGTTTGGAGTTCCAGATATTTTTCAACTGTAGAAATGCAGCCCTTGCTTTGCCAATCCGTGCCCTCACATCTGTATCGGATCCACCTTTCTCGTCGATGATGCTGCCCAGATATGTAAAGGTGTTAACGTCATCCAAAGCATCTCCATCAAGATTGATTTGGTTGGTGCATGTTGTGTTGCATCGGAGAATTTTGCTTTTTCCTTTATGTATGTTGAGACCTATTGCTGCTACACTGGTCGTCTGCTCTTGCATTTGTTGTTGCGTGTGTGATAAAAGAGCCAGGTCATCTGTGAAGTCCAGATCGTCCATCAGCATCCTAGCTGTCCATTGGATACCGTGCCTCCCTCAAGATGTCGACGTCTTCATAATCCAGTCGATCACCAGGAGAAAGAGAAAGGGTGAGAGTAAGCAGCCTTGCCTGACACCGGTCTTCACCTCGGAAGAGTCTGTTAGCTGTCCTTCGTGTACGATTTTTCAGTTGAATCCATCATGTAGAACTTCGTACGTACGTACATACATCACAGTTCAAGTTGCCACATATCGCATTAGCACACAAAGATACAGTTGTCACTTTAAAACCCATTGTAGTAGAGATAGTAGAAGTATTCGCAGTAATCGGAAAGATTAAGGTTCGATGATATTTTTCAAGAAGTAGAATCTAGTGAAATAAACTTAAAAAGAAAAAGATAAAGGTGATGAGGAATTTAAAAGGTCAGGACTTAACAGAACACGAAGAATGAATGCAACTACGCCAGTGCAAATGGTTTTAAGCCTATAGACCTTTCGGGGCTACAGCCGGTCCCAAGCCCAGACAAAGGAGGAAGATTGGGATTGGGGTTGGCGACGCCGTCCGCAGTAAAACTAACTCGCTAAAAAAATCCGTTAACAAGAAGAAATAATTCAAACCATGCTTTGGGAGTTCAAAGGTCTTTATTTAGAAGAATTAATATGACGTCTCATGATGAAAACCGAATTCCTTCGGAAGTTATGAGGCCAACGCCCCTACTGACAACCAGGGTCCTTCCACTGTGTAGGCAGCCGGGAATTAACATCCACCCTCATACCCATAAAAGCACACGAGACCAAACTGGTCACAATCAAATCTTTTCTGCACCTCCTAATAACTACTCTCTTATATTTGTGAATATCCATCTATATAGTTTACTTAGTAAAATCAAGTTATATTAACTGAAATATACAGTCGATTGAGTTCTACAATACACGGTAGGTAGGTTGGTTGCAACAACGATATAGTTAGAAAAAAAGTAGCTTCATTTCTAAGAGTGGTGGTGTATAGACATACTGTTGACTGAATGGTAGTATGAGGGCGTTAACGTGTTTCTTTAATATAATACTGCCCCCCTACCCTATCCACAAGGGAAAAAAGCTATTTCAAGCTCTGACATGACAAATTCGTGTTCCAAATACCAGTACAGTTTCATTTTTCGGTAATTTTTTAAAACTGAAACACGACGAGCGGAGCATATTTCAAAACTCAAATTATCAATAATAATATCCATGGAGATATCACCATTTATTCTCGTGATGTATAATTATTTCAATTATATAAATTTACCCTGTATTGTCAAGGGGGCAATTTTACATTTGGTTTTCAGGAGAACCACAAAGAGACTGCACACATTTTACCATTACTACATGAACAGTTCGGCTCAGTCCTGTGGTGTAACCACACACTTGCTACCTGATACCCTGGTGGACCATTCACATCATTTCATATACACACAATGGTACATATATATTTCCGATCCATGATCGCGTCAATCAATATGCACCGCATGACACAGGCCATTTCGACCCATCCCGATAACATGACTGTTAAACTCATTATTATTATTAGCAATGGTGATACGCAGCAATACGGCACCCCAATGACAATGGCACTCGGGAATATTGCAAAACAACCACCACTACTATCAATCAAATCGGTCACCCTGCTAACCAATTCTGTATATGGACTGTTGGCAATGCTTGCCAAAGCAAAGCCAAGCCATCCACAATGTTCATCACAGAGAACCTCTAGTCTCTTATAGGAGACCTGCAGCTCTATATAGCAGCAGTATAGCATATGGTGTACATATATATGGCGTCGAATAGTAGAAGAGGCAGTCCAGCTTGATGCAAATGGGGCCTCAAACACTCTTATTACCCTTTGTCTCATGTCGGACAATGATCTTTTTCGCCTCTCCGAAATTTTCATTTTTCGACCATATGAGACCTAAGTTAGGGGGGTAGCATCACCTCCATTCTCTTGATGACATCTCATATATATAATAACATTTTTAAAAACGAATTCTTCAACTTACCCCATGGTTGACGCCATATAAATTCAAGAGATTTACGACTAGCAAGATATTTTTTCACTTCATAATGTACACGATTAATAATCATTTCAGAGAAACCAAATTTTTTCACTAAATATGGCATTGTTGAACTTTGACCAAATGCATCAACCGACCATGTGACATTAGGTCGATAATCTGATATATTCACGACAAGAAAAAAGGAGATGAAAAATAAAGTGTAAACTAACACAGAAATATATATATACAGACAGATACAACACAGAACTTCGTACGTAAGTACATCAGTTCAGGTTGCCATGCCCCATCAGCACAGAGACGCAACTGTCAGTTTAAGTCCAACAGAGTTAGCGATAATAGAAGTATTAGCAGTAATGGAGAAGATTAGGGAGTGAAGTATAATACAGTAAGATAAATTTAGAAGAAGGAAGGTAGAGATTATGAGGAATGCAGAAGTTTAGAATTTCAAAGAATACAAAGAGTAAATGCACCTGCGCTATTGCAAATGATTCTGAGCCAAGTCGTTCAAGGTCTCTAACCACTGGTGACTTTCGTCTCGCGGACGCCAACAGGAAAGCCTACATCTACCAACATGAATCAGTCCACTTGTCACAGTCACTTCATGGATTTCTGTCATGTTTTGGTCTGGCCGCCCCTAACTTTTTTCCAACCCACTCCTACACCACAAAACACAGATCGTCGCGGCAGTCGGTGGTTAGGCATACGCAAAACATGTCCCAACTACCTCCACTGATGAAGTTTTAATACTTCATCTATAGACCTGCCAAACTTATCCAGTACTCGTTTCCTAACGATAGCATTGCTTACTCGGTCGTCCCATGATACACGAGCAATGCTTCGGAGACATCGATGATCGAAGACTAGTAACCTACGAAAGTCCTCTACACTTAACGGTCAAGTTTCGCATCCGTACAGTAGGACAGAGCGAACTGCTGCGCAGTACACTCATCCTTTGGTTAACAAGCAGATATCTCGCCTGCGCCATAAGTGACGCACGTTCGCAAAAGCCAATCGGGCCTTCTGTATCCAAGCTCCGATTTCGTCAGTCACCCGATCATCAACATCCGTAACAGCACAAAAGACTAAAATTGTTCATCATACTCAAATCCTTATAATCATGAACTCATTCAATCAAGTAATCATAAATATAACGTTAGTATTTTTGAAAAACAAAAGAATAAAAACTCATTATATGATTTCCTAATTTAGTAACGTTCAGTATTTGTTTTTCACATATACAGAGAATATTGATTGTTATCAAACAGAAGAAATACAACAATAGAAATGGCAAGGAATAGAATGGAATGTTGTCAGTGGAACCTATAAAACATTGACCTTTATTATTATTATTATTGTTATTATTATTTCTTAAAAAACCAACAACAACCATTATTCACTAATATTGTACTGTAAATAAAAAGTATTGATGAATGGGTTTACAAAATACCATCTAGCTTGAATATCATTACAAGACTGAGAACATTACATAATGAGTGATAGATATATGTATATGAATTACGGGGTTGTGAAGATTGTTAAGTTATACATTTTTTTTGAAACCATGAATCAATCAATGTTAGACCAACACCATTTGAAACGTGGAAGTTCTGGTATGGGACTCCTCACCAGTGCGCATCTACGACTCCTCCACCTCGCAGGATTCGAACCCAGGACCTTCGGTATTGTAGGCGGACGCCTAACCATCGGGACCACTGGGCCGCGGTATCTAACGGTGAAGTTCAACCTGTTCGGGCGTAGACAGTAACGACCGAAGACTGTGTATGAGGTTGCGCAACTCCGTGAATTGATCAAGTTAGATATTAACACCGTTAGATACCGGCTCAGTGGTCCGATGTTTAGGCGTCCGCGCACAACACCGAAGGTCCTGGGTTCAAATCCTGCGCGAGGTGCAGGAGTGGTGGATGCGCACTGCTGGGGAGTCCCATACCAGGACGAAACGGCCGTCTTTCAGTGCTTCCAGGTTTCTAATGGTGGTCTAACATTGATCGATTCATGGTTTCAAAAAAGATATATTATATGTACACATGTTTTATTTCATTTGACTTAATATAAAGACAACTTCAGTTGAATATTTCTGTAACAGGGTATTATTGTGGTGCAAGCTACTTATAGGTAGTATATGACGTGAGCGTCAACGTAATGTCTGGCAGCAGAAGATGGGGGAAGATCAAGAAAGGAAGAAGAGTTAGAACACAATGGAATTTGTATCAAACGCATGAATAGTGAGTGACAATGGATTGATGTTTTGCAACAGGAACAGTCCAGTTCGATATGATAAACTGATAATTTGCAAATGAACGATTTACGATATGGTTTTCCTATTTTACTGAGTAACTCTGTAATTTTCGTTAAATACAATTCGGTTGCCCCACCTGTGTTCTCATTCACTACATTATCAGCACTAATTTTATTTTTGGCGTTCGAACTTATGCATGTACGTGTTAGTGGGATATGATTGCGTTGTTGCGCACGGATTGGCTCTTTCGTATTCACCAATCAGAGAGCGTTAGCCGATATGCTCTGAGGGAACATTCTAGAATCTTTTCATGTTAGAAAACTATAAGTAGATTGATGTTTTGGATTTCTTTCTCTTCCCTTCTATCCCTATTATTAGAATTTTAATCTGCTTTTTCCCTGTTCAAACGTGTTCTGATTTTGGTAGAACGTCTCAAGTCAATTGATGTCCGAAAATGCTAAGCATTAGTAGGAATAGCTGGGTTGTAATATAAACAGAGAATTATAACACTATGTATTGAAGAAGATTATAATGAGGTCAAGATTTAGCTCTGTTACTTTATATAAGAATGTCAATCATATTTTTACTGAATTAATATAAGTCAAATTAAAATCGGTTTGAATGATATCGTTTGTTGGTAAGTTTGACTGATAATTCAATAAGTCATGGTTGATATACATAAATCTTGTGTCAATCAGTCAGTTACAACGTAGAACTTCGTACGTACATACTATACCATGCCATACCACATCAACACACAGAGACGCAACTGTCAATTCAAATACCTTAAAGGTAGAAGTATTAGCGGTAATGGAGAAGATTAGCGTACGAAAATATGATTCAAGAAATATAATTCAGTTAAATAGATTAAGTAAGAAAGAGATAGAACTGACGAGGAATTCTGAAGATTCGAATTTGAGAGAACACAAACAATGGATACACCATTGCCATATCATTCAAAGTCTCTAACTATCGATTACTATAATCTCACAGACCCAAACCAGATAGTCTACACCTACCAACATGACTCAGTTCATTTGTAAGTGACTTTGACATTGATTTGTGCCATGTTTTGGTTTGGCCATCCCTAGCTTTCTTCTAACCTACTCCTACACCACAAAACATCAGTCTATACAGCCATTATGATATAAGTTGGTATATTATAATAGATGAAATATGGTTAGAAGTGCAGTCCACGAGATCAACTTTAGAATATAGTTACATTCAGTTGATGAGTCCCAATTAAGATAAAATACACATCTTGAATCTTACTGGTAGCCACATCTCATCTAACTTAATCATTACTACTCTTTCAATATAGTTGACAATGCTGTAGTCAATGTAAAGGCCTAGCGCGAATGTATATTGACCCAATCCACCACATCAAATTATTTTAGCGATCAGAGGCAAGGGAGCCGCAATAATGTAATAGTATCGATTAAGAGCTAAAAAGATAAAAGATGTATGGAAGAACATTGAAATGAACGAAGGCATCCACCGCCACTGCAACTTTAATGACTTGTGTTAAATCCAAAGTATTGCTCACTAATTTATGAGTCTGTGATTGGGTATATTTTACTTAGACAAACCCAGTTTGTGCGACGATAGCAATAAGAAGCTAAATACGGTTTTAAAGATGAATTTATTTCATGTGTGTTCATTTAATGAAGCGAAGTAAAACGAAGTGAATTGAAGAAGAAGAAGAGTGAGCCAAATTTCATGCGCTAAAGAATGACTAAGTATTTATAATTAAGTAATAATAGGCTAAACATGTACTAGGCGAGTATCAACCATTATAGATTATGAACGTCCCCAGTTATTGGTTACGAAATTCGCTGGATGCCTTAGTCAAACAATTCGTATTAATTATAACATGATCCAAACCCTACTTACTTACTTACTTACTTTCGCCTGTTACCCCCAGTGGAGCAGAGGCCGCCGACCAATATTCTCTAATCTACTCTATCCTGGGCTTCCTTTTCCAGTTCTGTCCAATGTTTGTTCATTCCTCTCATATCTTTCTCTATTTCTCGGGGGTAATATATTCTTTGGCCTTCCTCTTTTGCTTTTACCATGAGGGTTCCAAGAAAGGGCTTGTCTTGTGAGGCCGTTGGGTGTTTTCCGAAGTGTGTGTCCTATCCACTTTCACTGCTTCTCCCTGATTTCCTCCTCCACTAGAACCTGGTTTGTCCTGTCACACAGTAGGTTGTTGCTGATGGTGTCTGGCCAACGAATACGAAGTATTTTGCGAAGACAACTGTTCATAAATACTTGTATCTTCTGGAAGATGACTTTCGTAGTTCTCCAAGTTCCCGCTCCATATAGTAGAACTGTCTTGACATTTGTATTGAAAAATCCTGATTTTGGTTTTGATTGATACTTGTTTGAAGTTCCAGATATTTTTCACTTGTACAAATGCAACCCTTGTTTTACCTATCCGCGCCGTCACATCTGCATTGGATCCACCTTGATTGTCCGATGATGCTGCCCAGATAGGGGTAAACGTGTTAACGTCCTCCAAGGCATCTCTATCAAGATTGATTTGATTGCGGCATGTTGTGTTGTTGCATCGGAGAATCTTGCTTTTCCCTTAATGTAGGTAGGTTAAGACCTGTTGTTGTTGTTGTTGAGGCTGCTGATACACTAGTCATCTTCTCTTGCAATGATTCAAAACAGTCATTAACTAGTAATAACTTTCTTCTAACTTATTCATTAAAGATAGACAATGTTAGGTTAAACATAATACTCATTGTGAGGTTGTTGTGAAGATATATACTCATACAAATAACACAAATTCCAGCATAAACAAACAACTCCTCATTGATGATATGAATTGAACCAGTATAAAAAACAAACAAACAAACAAACACACTCACCGAAATGTTCTAATAACCAATGATGACCTTCAATGAATTGATCAATAATTGAATAATAATGTGTCACTGCTTCATCTGGCATAACCCAACCACCTGAAACAATTTCCCAATGTCCATTCTGTAATAGTCTATAATATGCAAAGTGTAAATAATCAATAAACAATGGTAAGAAGATAAACAACAACACAATGTACATTGTTCAATGTATAAAGGGATTATTATTATTATTATGTGGAGTACTTTAGAAAAATCGATAAAACTCAGTCATTTAAACATCATAGTTCATATATATTGACTGAAATGAATTTATTCAATGTGTGTTGTTTGAAAAGATTAAAAAGAGCTGGAGATGTGAATAAATTGTATTATTATTATTATTATTATTATTATTATTATCCCACAATTCAGGTTTACAACTTTGATAACCAATAGATTTATGTTGCTCAGATAAGAAAATATCTAAGCTTAACATGATAGTCAAGCTGTGGATACTGTGTTAACTGAGATGAGCTTTATAGACGAAAGATAGATAGACAGACAGACCAGCAACGTAGAACTTCGTACGTACGCACGTACATCAGTTGAAGTTGCCATATCACATTAGCGCACAGTGATGCAATTGTCAATTCAAGTCTATTAGCAGTAGATGTAGTGAAAGGATTAGCAGTAATCAGAGAGATTAGAGTTCGATATTATTCAAGAAGTAGAATCTAGTGAAATAAACTTAAAAAGAAAAAGTCAGGGGTGATGAGGAAGTCTGAAGGTTAGGATTTGAGAGAACACAAAGAATAAATGCACTTACACCATTGTAAACTGTTTTGAGCCATGTCATTCAGGGTCTCTAACCATCGATTACTATCATCTCGCAGGCTCCAATCAAGCAGTCGATACCTACCGACATGACTCAGTCCACTTGTCAGTGACTTCATGGATTCCTGCCATATTTTGGACTGGCCGCCCCTTACTTTCTTCCAACCTACTCCTATACTGCAAAACATAGCTCGACGACGCAGTTGGTGGTATACGCAACACATGTTTCAACTAACTCAACTACTGAAGTTTCAATACTTCATCTATTGGCCTGCCATCCTTGTCTAGTATTTGTTTCCTACTGACAGCATTGCTTACTCGGTTGACCCAGGATACACGAGCAGTGCTTCGGAGACACCTATGATCGAAAACCAGTAACCTACGAATATCTTCTACTCTGACTGGCCATGTTTCACAGCCATAAAATAGGACGAAGAGAACTACTGTACAGTACACTCGTCCTTTAGTCAGCAAACGGATATCTCGCCTACGCCTACGCAGGTTGGTAAAAGCTAATCGAGCCTTCTGTATCTGTTGTCAGATTTAGTCATACACCACCATCACCGATGAGACTCGCCAGATAAGTGAAGCGGTCTAAACGTTCGACAACTTCACTCCCTATCACTAGTTTAGGTGCCGATACAAGCCAATCTTAAGGCAACAATTTGCATTTCGACGGGGAGAATCGCGCCAGCATAATAGGTCAAAAACATGTTCATTTACATACACGTTACCGCAATAATCAGATTAACTGAAGACCGGTAGGGTTGAATGCAGTAACTTAAGGTTTGAAGAAAAAGTCATCCACGACAGTGTTTCTTCTCAACAGCAAAAGGGGAGGAGGTTAGAAAAAATCTATAAATACACAATTGTATGAGAACATATCAAGAATGAGAAGAACACATTCCTATGAACCAATCACTAGAGAAGCCTTTTTCCATATAAAGGAATAGGATTTATGGTGTTGAGAGATTGTTTGCTACAGAAAGACATTACTGTAGCATACATATATGAAAGTTTACCAAAATATGACATTAACAGTGTTTTTTCCATCATAGCGGAGGTAATTATTGATTAGGTTTTTAAAAATGTGTAATAATCAACCGAATAAGGTAATAATTTCACAAATAACATGAAACTACTCACATTATTTAAGGATACTATCCCTAACTCAGGTCTCATCTTACGGTCGAACAACGAAAATTTCGGTATTGTGAAAATATCATTACCCGATATAAGAGTGTTTGCGCGCCCATTTGCATCAAGCTAGGCTGAATCTCTTGCTATGCTGTACGATTTGCCATACTGTGCTATATAGAGCTGTAGGTTTTCTATCAGGTCAGAGGTTCGCTGTGAACATTGTGGATAGTTTGGCATTACTTTGGCAAGTATTGCTAACAGTCTATATACAAATTTGGTTTAGCAGGGTGACCGATTTCATTGATACTGATGGTGGTTGTTTTGCAACATTCCATAGGGTCATTGTCATCGGAGTGCTGTATTGCGGCATATCACCATTGCTAATAATAATGTTTTTGAAACCATGAATCGATCAATGTTAGACCAACACCATTAGAAACCTGGAAGCACTGAAAGACGGCCGTTTTGTCCTGCTATGGGACTTCTCAGCAGTGCACATCCACGAGTGCTCACTTGGTGAGGAATCTTCTCCGAGTTCTAGTGGGAAGACATGACCAGTGAAGTTCAACCTGTTCGGGTGTAGACACTGTCTACCGAGGACTGTGTATGAGGTTGCGCAACTCCGTGAATTGATCAAGTTCGACATGAACACCGTTAGATACCGGCTCAGTGGTCCGATGGTTAGGCGTTCACCTACAATACCGAAGGTCCTGAGTTCGAATCCTGCGGGGTGCAGGAGTCGTGGATGCACACTGCTGATGAGTAGTCCCATACCAGGACGAAACGGCCGTCTTTCAGTGCTTCCAGGTTTCTAATGGTGGTGGTCTAACATTGATCGATTCATGGTTTCAACAACCATGGTTTCACAACCCCGTAATGCTAATACTAATGAGTTTGACAGTCATGTAAGCGGGGATGGGTCGAATTGACGCATTCATGGATCGGAAAAAATCACCATATATATAAATGTACTAGTGTATATATAAATGGTGTAAATGGTCGTCCACCAGGGTATCAAGTACTTACTACCTGTATATGATCGCACTACAGGATTAATTAGGTCAAACTATTCAAATGTCCAAAATGTGTTTAACCACATGGACAGTCTGTTTGTGGTTTCTCCTGAAAAAAAAAACTAAATATAAAATTACCATGACCACAATAATACATGGTTAAAATTTATATCATTGTAAATAAATAATTCATACTTTTTAAAAGATTGTTTTTGTTCGGCGGATAATGTATTGATCCATAAATTTAAAAATGACACTTCAGAATAAACAAATCTAGCTTCATCTTTTTCATTTAATATAGTTAATGTTGCATCCAAAATAGGTTTTGTTTCAGTAGTAAAATATCCTTCCAAGGTTTTAATCCAACCTAATATGAAATAATTAATGAAACAATGTAAATGTAAATGTTTAAGCATTCATGGTATAACGACAAAAAGTTATGTATGTATGTATAGTATAGTGGAATATTTCGTAAACAATATTGTAACAGTGCTCACTAGTGACAACTAGCTTCGTCGTGAGGAAATTCTCGGAGTTCTAGTTGAGAAGACGTGACCAATGGAGGAGTTCAACCCTGTCGGGTGTAAGCAGTCAACTACCAAATAGGACAAATGGGTGAGGTCGCGCAAAATCCCTAGATCAATCAGAGTTAGACATGAACACCGATGGATGTCACCGGCCCAGAGGTCCGATGGTTAGGCGTTCGCCTACAATGCCAAAGGTCCCTGGTTCGAATTCTGCGAGGAGCAGGAGTCGTGGATGCGCACTGCCACTGATGAGTCCCATACCAGGACGAAACGGGTTCCAGGTTTCTAATGGTGGTCTAACAATGATTGATTGATGATTTCAAATGTGTGAAAATTTCATTGTTTAGAAATAATAAAAAACATTATTGATTAGAGTAAGATGGATCTGATTGATGTAGATGATGTGAAAGCATGGATTGGCAAAGCAAGCGATTGAACTGCTGGAACTCAAAACAACTGTCTAACAGTCAGTCAGTTGCAACGTAAGAACTTCGTACGTATGTACATCAGTGTTCAGGTTGGCCATACCACATTACCACACAGAGACGCAAATGTCAAATCAAATCCCATAGTGATAGAGATAGTAGAGGTATTAATGGTAATGAAGAAGACTAGGGTTTGAAGATATTATTCAAAAAGTATAATTCAGTGAGTTAAGGTTAGAAAGACAAAGGTAGAGGTGCTGACGAATCCAGAACATTAGGATTTGAGAGAACAAAAACAATGAATGCACCTGCGTCATTGCAAACGATTTTGAGCCATGTCGTTCAAGGTCTCTAACTATCGATCACTGACATCTCGCGGAACCCAAACACGTAGCCTACATCTACCAACATGACTCAACCCACTTGTCAGTGACTTCATGCATTTCTGCCATGTTTTGGTTTGGCCGCTCACACGCTTCTTCACACCTACTCCTACACTACAAAACATCGCTCTTCAAGGCAGTCGGTGGTTAGGCATACATAACACATGTCCCAACCACTTCGACTGATCAAGTTTCAATACTTCAATCTGTTGATCTGCCCATCCTTACCTAGTACTTGTTTCCTAATGACAATAGTATCGCTTGCTCAGTAACTGGATTAGTCATGTAAGCAACCGAATCTCAACGTGAACAAGCACAATCAGTACAAAGACACAGAGAGAGAGAGAGAGACGGAGACAGATCAAAAGTCAGTTAGTCGGTAATTCTCTTCAATCAATCAATCAGTCATTCGATTAAAATAAAAAAACAAACTATAATGACCGGAATCATAGTTTACCTGGATCTTGATGTGAAAATGGTACAATGAAAACTTCCAATGGTTCATCTTCTTTCCATTGATCCATTTTATATTCAATTGGAAATCCTTGAGTCCATACACCGCCAGGTTTATCATCAAATGCTAATTCATGATAAATATTATTCATCTTTAGAAAAAAAAACACATACACACAAAATACAGTTAAGGACGGATAGATATTTGATGTTGTTTCAAGCACATAGATTATATGTAATCAATATTATGTATGAATGGGAAAATAGTTTAGCCAAATAATTGGTATTCTATTTAAGCAATCAGTCAGTCAGTCTGCTACAACGGAGAACTCCGTATGTATATGTGTACATCAGTTCAAGTTGTCACTTCCCATTAGTACAGACAGAAAGAGCGAGAGATGCAATTGTCAATTCAAATTCCATAGTAATTGAGGTAGTAGTAGTGTGGTGCTGTGGTGCGAACTACTTATAAGTAGTATATAGCGTGAGTGTCAACGTAAAGTCTGGTAGCATAATATGGGGGGAAGATCAAGAAAGGAAGAGTTAGAAAACAATGGAATTTGTATGAAACGCATGAGGAGTGACAATGGATTGATGTTTGGCAACAGGAACAGTCCAGTTCCATAGGATGAACTGATCCTTTGCAAATGAACGATTTACGATATGGTTTTCCGATTTTACTGAGTAACTCTGTAATTTCCGTTAAATACAATTCGGTTGCCTCCACCTGTGTTCTCATTCACTACAGTAGTAGTATTAGAGGTGATCGAAAAGATTAGGAATTGAAGATATGATTCGAGAAACATAATCCCAGTAAGTCAGTCAGATGCGACGTAGAACTTCGCACGTAAGTACATCAGTTTATGTTGCCAGACCACATCAGCACAGAGATGTAATTGTCAATTCAAATCCAATAGTAGAAAAGGCAGTAAAGGTATCAGAAGTAATCGGAGAGGTTAGGATTAGAAGATATTATTCAAGAAGTATGATTCAATGAGAAAAGTTTAGAAACTCAAAACTAGAGGTGTTGAAGAATCCAGAAGATTAGGATTTGAGAGAACACAAAGAATGAATGCACCAGCGCCATTGCAAACGGTTTCGAGCCATGTCATTCAGGGTATCTAACCACCGATTATTATCATCTCGCGGACCCTAACCAGGTAGTCGACAATTACGGACATGGCTAAGTCCACTCGTCAATGACTTCATGGATTTCTGACATGTTTCGGTTTGGCATAATCCAGGGAGGTAAATTTAAAAACAGAAAGATAAATGTGATTAGGGAATAACAAAGATGAATAAGAATGAAGATAGTGGATAGGATAGCCATGACAAAAACCAATCAAGGTAATCCATTCAGATGACAGGTTGCCGTAAACTCTTAACTCGGCTAATAGTGTTCAAGGAGACAGACCGTACAACGTTAATGTGAATTTTTAGTACACCTTGCTATTAAAGACACTGCCACACAAACTCATGATCAGAAGAATCAAATGCTGTCTTACGGTACAGAACTACAACTATTGTCTGACATCTGAATGTGTGTCTGTTTACTGGGTATTTGATTGTGACCAATTCAGTCTCGTGTGCTTTCTTGGGTATGAGGGAGGATGTTACTTCCCGGCTGCCTACACCGTGGAAGGCTGTTTCTTGAGGAACCTGAAAAGGAAGGTAGATTAATGTTGGTCTTAACCACCTGGGACCGTGATCACAGAGCCCAAGGGACAACTGCTTGAGGCCGGTTACGCACGGCCTTTTTATGATAGGATTTTTGAGTGTTAGCTCCGCTCTTAAAAACCCTTAGTGGGCACCCTTACCGACGGAGAAGGAAATCCGTGAGGTAGGGTGAGGTGTGACATTCTCAGGTTCGACCTTTTCTAACCCTTCCTTCCTTGTGAGAAGGCAGCATCACTGCAGATGCTGGTTCTCCGAGGGAAACACCTTACTGCTGTCACACCCCACTGCAGTCAGCAGTACGACTTCGCCCTCAGACCTTCAGTAGCTTCTTTTAGTCTCACCCTTCTCCAATCGACCTGCCTGACATGGTAGAACCTTCAAGAACAAATGTTCCAGCCAATATAGCTCGGTTGAGTCATTACGATAGGCAAGCCCGACCACTGCGTCAAGGTAGCAGCTACGTGTACTAGATCCACGTCCAGCTGTTCAACCAGCCTGGTTTTCTCGAGTCTGCTGTTCACGAACTGAATGCTAGCTGGACTGCTCCCTAAACTGTTCGACCAATCGACCCAATCTCCTGGATTGGAAATGAATAATAGTCCCATTTTTTTCAGAGAGAGCTTCGCAAACAATTTGATTCCTAGTACTAGTTCTCTTGATAATTCTGAACAGTTCTTTACTGTTAATTATTGCCGCTACCTTTTTCATCTCTTTTGTTTTCTCTACTCACCACTTTTCGCGATCGTTGAGTAGGCCTATTATCGGCTTGTGTTCAAGCTGCCTCCGCTCTTTATCGTGTTCCTAGTCGAAAGGAATAGATTTGTGGGCATCTATCAGTTCAGTTGATGCTAATGAAATCCACTACTGCTTCCTAAAGTTCTGCTTTAATTTACTGACAGATATTACTACTGTTTGCACACCTTTTCAGATAACGTTACAAGCTACCTCGTGGTGGGCACCATTTACATAACTGTTCAATTGTTTTTCTAGTTGTTCCTGAAATATACTCTTGGCTTTGCTATCATTTAGCTGAATACGAGAAGAATTTACGTGCTGTGTCTTTCCAACGTCCAGTAAGCCGCAAACAAAAACGTGCTCCAACTACAGCATGATTTAAATGTAACCATGTGCTCCAGAATGAGCACCAGTGCATAGATTGATGTAATGTCATGTGATCTGACCTCCATTAAAAGCCTATAACCGATTATATTATATAATATACTAGCCAGTATGGTACGCCGAGTAAAGTGTCATGTCATCAACAAGTCCAAAGTACATACTATCAGTCAGGTCAGTCAGTCAGTCAACAACAACGTGTGTACATAAGTTCAGGCTGCCATACCGCATCAGTACAGAAATGCTAATTGTCACTTAAAAACCCCATAGTAGTAGAGGTGGTAGAAGTATTATTAGCAGTAATCGGAAATTTTAGAGTTCGATGATATTATTCAAGAGGCAGAATATACAGTAATAAACTTAAAAAAAAAAGATAAAGGGGATGAGGAATCCAGAAGGTTAGGATTCGCGAGAACACAAAGAATGAATGCACCTGCGCCATTGAGCCATGTCATCCAAAGTCTCTAACCATCAGTTACTATCATCTCGCGGACCTCAACCACGTAGTCGACACCTACAGGCATGACTCAATCCACCTGTCAGTGACTTCATCGATTTGTGTCATGCATCGGTTTGATCGCCCCCTAGCTTTCTTCCAACCTACTCCTACACTACACAACATCACTCGTTCAGGCAGTCATCCCATCTAACAGAATATGCTATCAACAGAGATAGCAATAATAGAAGTATTAGCAGTAATGGAGAAGATTGCGGAGCGAAGATATGATTCGACAAGTATAATTCAGTAAGATAAATTTAGAAGGAGAAAGGTAGACATTGTGAGGAATGCAGAAGCTTAGAATTTCATAAAACACAAAGAGTGGATGCAGCTGTGCCATTGCGAACGATTCTGAGTCATGTCGTTCAAGGTCTCTAACCATTGGTGACTATCGTCTCGCGAACACCAACCAGTTAGTCTACATCTACCAACATGACTCGGTCCACTTGTCAGTGACTTCATGGATTTCTACCATGTTTCGGTCTGGTCGCCCCTAGCTTTCGACCAACCTATTCCTACACAGCAAAACATAGCTCTTCAAGGCAGTTGGTAGTTAGGCATACGCAACACATGTATGTCCCAACCACTTCAACTGATCAAGTTTCAATACTTCATCTATTGATCAGCCATCCTTACCTGCGACCCGTTTCCTAACTAGAGCATTGCTTACTACATGCCAAATACTATCAGTAAAAAGAAGCAAAAATCGATAAATGAGACAAACTTGACAAAAAAAGTAAATTTCTATGAATAATAACAACAATTAGTAAAAAAAAATTATTATTATTATTATTATCTTACTTGATATGTTGTATTCACAGAATAATGATTGTCAGTTTTTAAACATACTGGAGCTTGAAATGTTTCAATAGTTGTTAAAGGTTTACTCTGCCCTGAAATCATTGATTTCTTTAATTGACTATGAGATTTTTGAAAAGGAACATCCAGAGAATGTGATTTTTGTTTCTCCGCCGGCCTATAATGATAATAATAATAATAATAATATTTATGGGTTATAGATGGTTATAGATTTGGAACAAACTATTCCTTTGATAAATTTGAACAGTGAAAGAAAACATTTGTATACAGTAATATGGAATTGTGAAGATTGTTGAATTACTACTTTCTGAACAAGAGGTTAAGTGTTCGTACGAGCAAGACCGTTAGGTCCCTACTGGATTTGAATCCTGCAAGGTGTACGAATCATAGATATGCACTGCTATTAGATGAATCTCGTATCAAAACGAAATGGTTGTCTAGTGTGCTTGTGGATGGATCTCTAATGTTTGGTCTAACATTGATCGATTGATGATTTCAAAAAGGCGATGAAAAGAGAAGCAACTATCTGGGTTTTTTTTAAAAAATATAGTGTTTAAAAGAGGAAGTGCATTTGTTCACAAGCATGTTATCAAGTGTAGTGCCTCCACACATATATTCCAGCTCGCTTACATCTAACTTGGTTAAGTCCTTTCGATTAATTTATTTAACCAAGCCACTTGTGTATAGCAACAATTTATATGTACCATTCGCTCTTATTATCGTCTGGTTTGTATGTTCAGCTCACATGACATGTTCCACTTGTCACTTGACCTTGTCAATCATTCGTCGCTTTTATTCATGTGTGTACATGCCTATTTCGCTTGTCATATTTCTGTCTTATTTTTGGTCTGACTATATATTCTTAGTCATGTTCTATCTCTTTGAGTTAGCTCATTAGCCTTCTCCACATCGCTCCATACAATTCGCTTCGCTTTGTGGTGTGTCCCGTATAAACGTATTCATCACTACGAATTCATCTTCTGATTTATAAACCGTCAGACGCTATTTGGCAACGATTGTCTGAACGAGTTAATTACACCGAGCTTAAGAACACGCAGTAAATCGACACACTACATAAGTACCTAACAAATGATCAATATGACAGAAATATTAAAATGATGTTTAAGATAAACAACAACTAGAGGACACGTAGTTTTAATGATGAATACTAACTAACATTCATCAAAATTTAGTTTATTTGAAAATCTATGTATACAATCTGATGTTGCATTCTTTCAACTAGAGGATTGAACTGTGAAGTTGATATTGCTAGTCTAAATTAATCCAGTTAGAACATTTGAACAGAGGTAATACATTGAAATCATATACGTCAGTCAGTCAGTCAGTTACAATGTGGAACTTAGTACATTAGTACATAAGTTCAGGTTGCAATAACACATTACCACACACAAAGACGCAATTGTCACTTCAAATCACACAATGATAGAGATAGTAGAAGAAAAAGAAGAATTAGCATCATAGTCAGTCAGTCAGTCAGTTACAACGGAAAACTTCGTACGTACGTACGCACGTACATCAGAGTTCAGGTTGCCATAACACTTTAGCACTGAGACGCAACTGTCAGTTCAAATCCAATTGATATTCAATAACAAACAATAAATAGTTAGGACGCGGCTGGACGATCTAGACTTCGCAGATGATCCGGCTCTTCTATCGCACACGCAACAACAAATGCAAGAGAGCAAGACCAGTGTAGCAGCAACCTCAGCAGCAATAGGTCTCAACATACATAAAGGAAAAAGCAAAATTCTCCGATGCAACACAACATGCACCAACCAAATCACTCTTGATGGAGATGCCTTGGAGGACGTTAACACCTTTACATATCTGGGCAGCATCATCGACGAGAAAGGTGGATCCGATGCAGATGTGAGGGCACGGATTGGCAAAGCAAGGGCTGCATTTCTATAGTTGAAAAATATCTGGAACTCAAAACAACTTTCAACTAAAACCAAAATCAGGATTTTCAATACTAATGTCAAGACAGTTCTACTATATGGAGCGGAAACCTGGAGAACTACGTAAGCCATCATCCAGAAGATACAAGTGTTTATTAACAGTTGTCTACGCAAAATACTTCGTATTCGTTGGTCAGACACTATCAGCAACAACGTACTGTGGGAAAGAACAAACCAGGTTCTAGTGCAGGAGGAAATCAGGAAGAAGTGGTGGAAGTGGATAGGACACACACTACGAAAAGCACCTAACTGCATCACGAGACAAGCCCTCACATGGAACCCTCAAGGCAAAAAGAAAAGAGGAAGGCCAAGGAACACATTACACGCTGAGAAATAGAGAAAGATATGAGAGAAATGAACAAACACTGGACAGAACTGGAGAGGAAAGCCTAGGGCAGAGTTGGTTGGAGAAAACTGGTGGGCGGCCTATGCTCCTCTATTGGGGGTAACAGGCGTAAGTAAGTAACAAACAATAAATGAATCCTCAAAAAAACTTCAAAACTTCTTTATCCATCAAAAAAAAAACTAGAACACAAGAAATAAATATACACACAATAAATAACTAACCATTGTGAACTATTAGTAGATATAATCATCTCAGTAAGCCATGGCATGGATACTTTACTTTGTGCTTTATCACGAAAATCAATTATGGAATATTGTAATGCTAATAAATTTTTCTCTTTTGTTTCAGCATAATATTGCATAATAATGTAAAGTGTAAACACAGTACACATTAAAATGATACACAAGTTTCGTATAAGCCTTAATTTCATTGTTCACCAAACAAACAAACAAATATCCTATGAGATAAGAAAAGAAAAAAATAATATGAAATTTAGTTAAAATAAGAATAAGCATTTTTAGAGATTTCTCTAACCCCACATAGTCTTCTAAAAATTAATGATCGATGAAGGATTGTTGTAATGAAAGACTTTATTGATCCATTTGTCAATTCAAACTGTATAGTGTAGTAGAGGTGTGGTGTGAGCTACTTATAAGTTGTAGTATATGACGTGAGTGTAAACGTAATGTCTGGTGGCAGCAGAAGATAGGGGAAGATCAAGAAAGGAAGAAGAGTGGGAACACAATGGAATTTGTGTATGAAACGCATGAATAGTGACAATGGATTGTTGATGTTTTGCAACAGGAACAGTCCTCCAGTTCGATATGATGAACGGATGATATTTTGCAAATTAACGATTTACGATATGGTGTTCCGATTCTACTGAGTAACTCTGTAATTTTCGTTAAATACAATTCGGTTGCCCCACCTGTGTTCTCCTTCACTACAGTAGGACAGCGTGAACTACTACTGTACAGTAGACTCTTCTTTTCGTTAACAGACAGATATATCTCGCCTATACCGTAAGTGACACAACTTGGCAAAAGCCAGTTGAACTCACCATAACCGTAACGAGATTTCATCAGACACCAAGCTATCGGGACACTGATGACATTCCCCCCCAGGTAAGTGAGCTGGTCGATACGCTAAACTACTTTATTCCTTATAACTCATTGACGTGTCAACACACAAGCTAGTCCTGAAGCAAAACTTTACATTTCAAGCGGCAGAATTGCATACCAGACATAACTAACTGTATTATTTCTATTGCCACAGAGCTGTAGTTGCTGCTTTTAATCTTACTATTCTCCAATCGAATTGCCTGATATGATAAGACTTAAAAGAATATATATATAGTCTAGCCAATTTAGCTCGGTTTAATCATAGCAATAGTCAGGCCCGACCATCAGGTCAAGGTAGCAGCTACGATCAGGATGCGATCATATGATAATGATAGAATCAATTGTTCATGATTTAGTTGAAAAACCCTTAACTTCATACAAAACTAGTTTACATTTTTATATTCAGAACAAAAAAAATCGGAAAACTTCTTAAAACATTTAGTATAACACACCTAATAAATAAATATCTTAAGTTGAACAAAAGTATTGCAAACAACCATCGTATTTTACACTTATATAGGTTTAAATTGCGTCAATAGGAAAGTCAAGTCAAGTCATAAAGAGTAAACATGATTAAGCTAATTATGCAATTTCCTTGAATTCGTTTATTTGTGATGCAGCGGTACCTGGAGAGAAAGTACATCGGTTCTAGTTGCCACACTTCACGATGTCAGCGCACAGAGGACTAAATCATCAAAAAGAGAAGTATACAATAGGAAATAATATGAAAAACATGGAATATATTAGCGTGAAGAATAGCGTTCAAAAAGGAGCAAACGGAGTTGAAAGATTGAAATTCAGGAATGACTTCATGCATGTATTAAAAGACTATATCGATCCATACCAGTCTGATTACAAACTCCAAAAGAAGCATTTTGGATGTTCATATTGTCCTGCATTAGAATTCAGTGTTTAGTTTAGACAAAGAGGTGTTCAGTGAGTATGTCCACACTATATTTCTGCCTTTCGTTCTATTTCAAGACCACTAATACTACTAAGATAGCTGGATCGTTAACTAGTTACGTTCTTACTTCTTTGGGAAAGAATAGTATGCTATGCTTGAAGGAAAGTGCTCAACATTTTTACAAACTCAAGGACTGTCACAAGTTGTCCTTTTCTTTTGAATGATTTAACATCTTCCATAAAAAAGTTTTGTCAATAACACAGATGATCTCACTCTGTAAATCGACATCTGCCTCATCACATCCACTTGAAACGAATGAGTTCATGAACGATAGTCTATTGTACATGATTGTACACTTAATCTTTCTAACTATCAAACTGTTAATTTTTACTTGAGAATGAACAGCACTTAAAAACCCTACTGGAATCCCGTAAAATTTGTACTGTTAGAAATTCTATGATAAGAACAGTGTCAAAGGTTATTTCCCGACCGAAGCTGCTACCTTGACGTGGTAGTCAGGCTTGCCT